GAAGGGGCGCCAGTCAAAGCGAAGACAACCTGGTCCGCGGGTAAGGTAATGTGTACTGTGTTCTGGGACCGGCAGGGCGTGCTGTATGTCGATTTCCTGCGCACTCAACGTACCATCAATGCTGCTTACTACTCTAACCTTCTGAAAACATACGTGAAACCCGCTTATCGCTCGAAACGGAGGAGCATTCCAGCACGAAGTGCGATTCTCCTCCAGGATAACGCGCGCGTCTCACGCTCGATACAATATCAAAATTGGGGTGGAACATACTGGAACACCCCCCCTACAGTCCGGATTTATCGCTCTGCGACTACCACATGTTTGGACCACTGAAAGAGGCCCTCGGAGGTCAAAAGTTCAACACCGACGACGAGGTAGAGAGGTTCGTGCGCACATGGCTGTCCGAGTTGCCCAAGGAATTTTTCGATACCGGCATCAAAAAACTTCCGGAAAGGTGGACAAAATGTATAAATATTGAGGGGAATTACCTAGAAAATATGTGATTTTTTGTAAATTTTTTCGATAGTAAATAAACATGTTAGAGCATTTGTCTCGATCATATTTGAACCACCCTCGTATATTACATTTTCTTTAAAAAGACAACCTATTCAGTTAAATTATTCGTTGGGTAATATAAATTTATTAAAAGTTTCTACAGTACACGATCTTGGAGTAAAATTTGACTCCAAACTATCTTTTAAGGACCATGTACTTTACATTAGAAATAAAGCGTCAAAAAAGCTAGGTTTTTTAAAACGAACCTGTCAAAACTTTAGAGATGAATCTGCGTTAAAAACATTATACTACTCACTAATCCGTTCACATTTTGATTATGCACTCCTAATCTGGCATCCATATTTAGTAACGCAAATCCAAGATTTAAACAAAATTCAAAATAATCTTATCAGATTTTTATGCTATCAATGTTTTGTTTATAGAGCACCCCATTCTGATTATAATGTTACAATCCGGTTTTTTAATATGCAATCACTAGAACAAAGATTTATGCAAATTAAATCAAAATTTTTATTCAAATTATTAAATAATATGATTGATTGTCCGGAATTACTGCAAAATATAAATTTTAAAATAAATTCAACAAACCACCGATCTGTAAATTTATTCTACATAAAACATTCAACTACAAACTATATGCGAAACTCTCCATCCAATATTTTAATGTCCACAGGCAACTCTATAAAAAATATTGATTTTTTTGGTAATTCTCTAAATACTTTTATGTCTAATGTTCTAAGAAATACATAACAAATTAGGTACTAGAAATAAAATTAATATCTCGTTTTTATTTCGTTGTTTTTTTTTAGTATAGAAATTTAAATATTTATTGTATGATATTAATACCTATTTGCTCTTTAAATTTTAATTTATTTTTATTATTATTATTATTATTGTTATATATAATTCATTTACTGTTAATACGTGTACAATATATTTTATATACTTTATATGAAAAAAAAAAAAAAAAAAAAAAAAAAAAAAAAAAAACTGTAATTGGAATTTATTTCCGTAATAAAGAAATATTATTATATTATTATATTACTGACATAAATTGTATTAAACAAGCATGCATTGTTGTTAGTTGTTAGGTACTTTAATCGAGACATCGGTAGAATTTTAAGCTATTTTTTTGAGCTATCCAATGTATTTGAACCAAAAAATTATCAAAAGGCCCACGAAGGTGCTACAGGCAAAAATTTATATGATTGTATAAATCATTTGCTGAAAATAATGTACCATTCAATAATGTCATTGGTTTTGGATCAAATGGGTGTAACTCAATGATGGGTTCCCATAATTCTGTTGCTATCAGAATGAGAGAAAGTTGTCCTGGTATAAGCATATGGACTTGCATATGCCACTCGTTACACCTTTGTGCAAGTGAAGCATGTAAGGTTCTTCCAAAACGTTGTGAAGATTTAGCGCGCAACGTTTATTCATTTTTTTCAATGAGTTCAAAAAGATCTGCACAATTTGTGTAGTTTCAAGAATTTTGTTCTACTCCAGTACACAAACTTCTACATCCTAGTCAGACAAGGTGGTTGTCTTTACACTTAGTTGTGTCTAGAGTGCTAGAACAATGGGATGCATTACTTTTATATTTCCAAGATAAGCATTTAAATGAACGCCTAATAATTGTAGAATCAATATACAGCACACTCACAGACCCTCTCATAAGACTTGTATTTTTGTTTTTAGATTGGGTCTTGCTAAAATTCACCTCACTTAATTCTTTTTTCCAAAGTTCCTCTGTAGTGATAACTCAGTTACACGATAAAATGATTTCTACTTATAAAGATATTTTATAATTTTTTATGAGACCAAATTATATTAATAAAACTCCTATTAACGACATTGATCCAGAAAATGATAAACAATATATACCTTTTACACAAATGTACCTCGGCATAAGAGTATTAAAAGAAATAGAAAAACCTAACATTGCAAATAATAAATCCTTGTTAAATGACTTTTATTTAAGAACACAAAATTTTCTAAAAATCTCTTGCATACAAATTAAAAAAAAGTATAATTTTAATGATCCATTAATGTCAAAACTAAAGTTAATTGACCCTAAAGTAGTGGTATCTAGAGAAAATGCTTCTATTTTCCCCCTTTTAATTGTGTTACCTCGATTAACACAATCAAATGATAAATTATTACAACAAATTGATGGTGAATGGTGATTATTAACTTTGAAATTCCTAATGAAATACTAAATCATTTAGAAGAACCTGATGTTTTTTTGGTTTAAATTATCTAATTTACAGATGGGAAATCAAGAGTATCCATTTGTAAATTTGGCAAATGTTGCTATTGAAGCTTTATCTCTTCCTCACTCTAATGCCGATTGTAAGCGTATTTTTAGCAAGGTTAATCTGATAAAAGTTAAAACTAGGAACCGCTTAAATACAGATACAATTCAAGCATGCTTATTAGCCTCGCAAGAAATAAAAATAAAAAATAATACTTGTATAGATTTTGTACCTTCTAAAAAAATGATAGATTCTATGACAACAAGTAATCTTTATGACAACAATAGTAACGATGAGTTTTGTTTTGACGGATAGTTGTTTTGAGAGAGTGAATTAATATTAAACTTTTGTACTTAATAACTAAAAACATATTAACCAATTTACCTATATTATCTTTAATTAAATTAGTATGATTGTGAATTTTTTTAACATTTGCTATTAAACAAATCAAAGGATGATTTATTGTGTTAATACTTTTATATTTGTTGATTGTTATTTATATTATCAGATTAAGTTAATTTTGTTTAAATGGTTATATATTTGTTATATTGTTTTAACATTTGCTATTAAACAAATCAAAGGATGATTTATTGTGTTAATACATTTATATTTGTTTATTGTTATTTATATTATCAGAACAAGTTAATTTTGTTTAAATGGTTATATATTTGTTTATTGTTATATTATTATAAACAATTAAAAATGTTGATGTAATTCAATAATAATGAGTATTTATTTCAATCCTTATTCCCGTCTGGGTTCCGGGAAAGAATAGACCCAGAGTATTCCCTGCTAACCGTAAGAGGCGGTTAAAAAGGGACTGGATGAGGGCAACAGCTTATCCAGTATTGGATGCAGGTGGAGGCCAAAAGGGCTAGTACAGCTGCATACCAAATAGCTGTAGGCGATGATGGAAGACATCTCTACGACTACAGTACTGCGATGTGGAAGGAAACGGGAAACCACCACATTAACATCCCTAGTACTTGCAGAATGAATTGCCAACTCAATGTAAAAAATTCCGGACGTAAAATAGTCTCCCATTCGGATGTCCGGGTGGAGACTACTTTGAGAGATGCAAAGTGGAGGTACAAAAGAATTGGTACCTGGAATGTAAGATCCCTTGGAAGATGTGGAAAATTTGAAAATCTTAAGCTGGAAATGAAAAGATTGAATATCGACATACTTGGAGTAAGTGAAATAAGATGGCCCGAATGTGGTGATTTTTGGAGCGATGAATATAGATTTGTTCACACAGGCTCAAGCGATAGATACACAGGAGTAGGCTTCCTGATGAATAAACAATGTGGTAAAAACCTTATGAGCTATTATCAATGTACTGACAGAATCATCATGGTAAAAATTAACTCCTATCCAACAATAACAACGATTATCCAAATATATATGCCAACAACAACGCACGATGACGATGAAGTCGAAGAAGTGTATGACAAAATAGATGAAGTTCTAAAGATGACAAAAGCTGGAGAAAACGTCATTATCCTAGGAGATTGGAATGCATCAGTAGGAGAACAGAATGACGGATATATAGTAGGAAATTATGGACTAGGGAAAAGAAATGATAGAGGCGAGAGACTCGTACAATTTTGTACACAACACGAGCTTGTGCTAGCAAACACCCTGTTCAAGAACCATAAACGAAGAAGGTACACATGGAAAGCTCCTGGAGATATAGCGAGGTACCAAATTGATTACATTATGACAAAACAAAGATTTAGAAACCAAATCAAACAATGTAAAGCATATCCCGGAGCAGATATAAATAGTGACCATAATCTCTTAATCATGGAATCAGAACTAAAATACAAAAACATTAAAAAGAAAAATAATATTAAGAGATGGAACCTACAGAAATTAAAAAAACGATGAAATAAAAGTGACATATAATAAGAAATGTAGTGACACTCTAATGACAGTCACACCAGATAATAACACAGTAGAAGAAAGATGGAAGAATATTAAACAAATACTAAAAAATAAGGCTGAGGAAGTTTTGGGATCACGGGAGAAAGAAGCAAGGAAACCCTGGATTACGGAAGAAATTATAGAACTAATAAACAAAAGAAGAAAGTACAAAAACCAAAACAACATAGACAGTCAACAGAACTACAAACACATCAGAAATATAATACAAAGAAAAGCAAAGGAAGCCAAAGAAAAATGGTTAGATTACCAATGTACTGAAGTGGAAGAGTACCTAAAAAGGGGAAGAAGTGATCTAGCTCTCGAAATTGTGAAAAAACTTTTCTGCACAAGAAGAATGAATAGAAATGTCCTGAAAAGTAAAACGGGTGAGATACTTATAACAGCCGAAAAAAAGGTAAACAGATGGAAAGAATACCTAGAAGAATTGTATGCAAACCAATTTAATGGAAATGTCCTAGAAGAAGAGAACTGTGTAGAAGATGAAGACAAAGGAGACTATATCCTCCAATCAGAAATTGATTTTGCTATAGAAAATCTTAAAAATAACAAAGCATGCGGTATAGATAAAATCCCAGCAGAACTAATAAAGTGTGCCGGTGAAGAAATAAATAAAGAACTTGGAAATATATGTAACGAAATGTACTTAAACGGGGAAATAATTGATGATTTCAAGAAAGGCATTATAGTAACAATTCCCAAGAAAAAGGGGACAATGAACTGCGAGGAATATAGGACTTTAAACCTCAACACGCATGCTTCAAAAATAATAACAAGGGTAATAAAGAATAGAATAGAAAAAGCAATAGATGCAAACCTAGGAGAAGATCAATTTGGTTTTAGGCGAAATATAGGAACCAGAGAGGCGACCTTAGCGCTAAGGATAATGATAGAAAAACAGATTAGACGAAACAAAGAAACCTTCATTGCTTTTGTAGACCTGGAGAAGGCTTTTGATAATGTACAATGGAAGGAATTATTTAAAATATTAAAAAGAATCGGAATTAAATATAACGATAGAAGATTTATCTATAATATGTACAAAAGCCAAACGGTCATAATACAGATAGATGGGAAAGAGCAAGAAGCAAAAATAAAAAAAGGTGTAAGACAGGGTTGTATTTTGTCACCAATGCTATTCAACTTGTACATTGAAGAGGCAATGAAAGAAATGAGAGAAGAAATACAGAAAGGAGTGCGAATAGGAGGAACAATGATGACGGCCTTAAGATTTGCGGATGACATAGCTTTCTGTGCGGAAAGAGAAGACGACCTGCAAAATACCCTAGTAACAATAGATAGAATACTAAAAAATAAGTATGGCATGAAGCTGAACAAAAAGAAAACAAAAGTTATGGTTTGCAGTAAAACTAATCCGGTTCGACTCAACATAAATATCGGAAATGAACAAATAAAGCAAGTGCAACAATTCACATATCTAGGAAGCAATATAACAGAGGATGGTCGCAGCAAAACAAATATAATCTGTAGGATAGCACAGGCGAAAAGAGCATTTCAAGACAAAAGCCACATATTAACTACCAATAGTGTTAGCCTGGAAATAAGGAAGAAATTCCTAAAAAGTTATATTTGGAGCGTAGCGCTCTTTGGATCCGAAACCTGGACAATAAACTCAACGGAAAAAAATAGGCTAGAAGCCTTTGAGATGTGGTGCTACAGGAAAATGCTCAAAATACCCTGGACTGAGAAGGTAACGAATAAGGAAGTACTAGATAGGATAAAGGAGCAACGACAAATATGGAAAAGTATTCAATCAAGAAGAGGCAAGATGATAGGACACATTTTAAGGCATGAGAGTTTATTAAAGAAAATAATTGAAGGAGATGTTGAAGGACACATTGCAAGAGGAAGACCAAGAACAGAATACATGACACAGATAATGCAGGATACGAATAAGGGAAGTTACAAAGACCTGAAGGAATTGTGCTACAATAGAGAAGCATGGAGAGCTGCAACAAACAAATCTACGGATTTATAACAAAAAAAAAAAAAAATTTCAATCCTACATTTTTATAATTATTAGATTTATTTTTCATTTAAATTATGTTGATAGAAAAAGTATGGCACATAGTGTACCTACTTAAAAATCATAATTAAATAGAATAGTTGTTCAAAGTTATCAATTGTGACTTAGTTGTTATCTCGAGTTAAGAAAATGTAATATTACTTATTAAAAAAAAAATAATATAATATAGTATCAATATAGACTATAGTATTGCGTTACCGAGCAAAGCGAGGGAAAATTTTTTAGGTACTTATCAACTTTTTTTACGATACGAACAATTTACAATAATTGTCTGAACATTCGGCCTTTTTAACCTGGCAACACTGGCTGGCCGGTATACAAACCACCACGAACACACACACGTTTTTTTTTCTGTCGTCGCCGTTCTTTCTAAGTTTTTTTACAATCGCCATTGCGGACATTACTTGTATTTAAATTTGCCGTTCGCCACATGTAACTGATTTGATATAGGCGTTCGACATTGTGCTGATCTTGGCGATGCTGCAACGTTTCACAAGTATATTTGCCATTCGTCGGATTGTGTGGTACCGAGTCGGGATCGTCGCTCTTTGTTGGTTACGCGTCGATTGATGTCACTAACAATCCACGATTAACAGGTCAGACGTATCAAAATATTGTTGTCACTGTTTTTATCAATATTATTTACTCATTTGTTTACTAATAATATTATTTACATTATTAATTGTATTTGTTAGGACTAATATAAGTTAAGCTATTCTCATGTACAAAATTTATTTAACGAAATTATATATTAATAAATCTTACAGTCCACTATTACTTGTTTTTTTATGAATTTAAAATTAATTACATAGCATCCAGCCCAAAGGCCTCTTTCACACGAAGCCACCAGAGCAGCGCCACCATGGTCGCGCCACCACAAATTATTAATAACTAAATTAAGGTTTTCACATTTGGTCGCGCCACTCTTATCAGTTCATGCCACCAAATATGCTAAACGCGCGACCAAAATAATCGCGCCACCAGTTAAATTTATATTGTTTTGATGTAAAAACGCGCATTCTATTCATTCGATCGACTGCCACCGATACGTTTGTACGTTATTTTTGACGTTGTCAATATTTTCGCCATGGATACCAATTTTGACTCAGAAAAATTCATTATTGAAATTGAAAATCGGCCGGCAATATGGAATTCTGCTTGTCCTGAATATTCAAATCGTGATTTAAAAAAAAAATGCTGGGAAGAATTAACTAATATATTTTCTTGTGAAGATAATACATTACAAGAGAAAAAAGAAATTGGTAAGTACATATGTATCTGTAGTACCTTTATATTTCAAAAAATTAATAAAAATAAAAATATGGATAAACTTCATGTTACATAAATTAAACTTTTTTTTACATTTATAAAATCTTTGAATTTATCAAGATATTAAAATAAAAACATGAAAGCTTAAATTTTACTATACTGCCATTCAATTTGACCATCAGTTATAAAATAATTTGCGTATTTATCCCTCACAGCTTGTGCAGGTCTTGATCCTCTTGTTATATTTTGATTTTCTATAGGTACATTTTCCAATCCTTGAACTGTTAAAGTATCATCATACCGATATCCATCTCTTACTCTAACAAAATTGTGTAAAATACAACAAGCTTTAATAATATTTTGTGCCAAATCAAGTTTCACGTTTAATGGTCGATGAAAAATCCTCCATTTATTGGAAAGAATTCCAAATGTGCACTCTATATATCTTCGAGCTCTTGAAAGCCGATAATTAAAAATATTTTTTGACATGGTTAAATTATTACCACCATATGGGTGCATTATATTTTCCGATAAACCAAACGCTTCGTCACCAACTATTACAAATGGCATTGGTTCTGGGTTTAATGTTGAAATTGGTTTTGGATTAGGAATATTAAGAGAATTGTTAATCAGTTTTTTTTATAAAACAAAGATTCTTTAAAAATTGACGAATCGCTACTCTTTCCGTATGCACCAACATCTATGGCGACAAATGAGTAGTTAGCGTCACAAACACCAATCAATACAATCGAAAAATAATGCTTGTAATTGTAATACAATGAACCTGTGTCTGTGGGCTTTATAACTCTGATGTGCTTACCATCAACTGCGCCTATACAGTTTGGAAAATTTGCAAATGTTTCAAATTTATTTGAAATTTCGAGCCAATCTTCTGTAGACGGTTGTGGCATACATATTTCTTTTAATTTGTTCCATATAACTTCACAAACTAGAGCGACAAATCCAGATATTGTAGAAATTCCGAGGCAATATTCGTGGTGTAATTCCGTAAAAGAGCATCCACTAGCAAGGTATCTGCGTAAAAAAATTAAAAAAACAAACATATTACAGTGAAAGTAAAAAAAATCAAATAATGATTGATATAATTTACAAATAAATGTTTTAACTATTTTCCCGTCATAAAATAAATTTTAAACATTAAAAATTAAAAACTACGTTTATAAAACTCCTTTCTTTAAATATATTTTAAATATTTTATCTGCTTCAGGTTAAATTTTTTTATACAGTTCATATCATAATTATTTTATTAACAATAATTCATTTTAAATATTGAACACATAGTTATTAAATCTCAAGTCAATAGTGTTCATACATAAAGGTTTTTTAATATTTTTAAAATAAATTCGATAAAATTTTTTAATTATATAAATAAATACGTATTTTCACAAAAAAATTAATTTTTTAGGAATAAACTTGCAACGCAAATGGAAAAGTTTACGCGATTGTTTTTCTAGAGAATTAGGCAGAGTTAAAAAACTTAAATCCGGGTCTGAAACTTCCAGAAAAAATCCTTATGTCTTTTACAATCAGTTATTATTTCTAAAACCAATCATTCAGAATAAATCAACAGAAACGAATATAATGCCAGATGCTGATGAAAGTGAAGATGATTTAGGAGGTCCTTCTACTAGTCAAGTATCAAATAGTGAACCTAGTTCTAAGAAAAAAAAAACTACCTCTATAAATTTATTGGAAAAAGAAATAATTGAAGCATTACATAAAAGTGTTGAGCTTCGAGAAGAACAGACCAAAAAATACGAGGAAGACGCTGATAGATTGTTTTTGTTATCTTTGTTAAAACCTTTAAAAGAAATACCTGAACACTTACGTTTTTCAGTTAAAATGGATTTAATGAAAATAACAAATAATGCTCAAATCAATTCACACTCAGCTTCTTTAACTTTATCTCATCCTCAACAATACAACTTCAGTAGTCAAAATGTAATGCCTTACATTAATCAAGATTTAAATACGGGCCCTAGGTCTGTGTATCTACCTAACCAACTACACTCAGATCCAAATTATCAAAGGGCATTACAAAATCAACTGATTACTCAAAAAAGACCTACATCTACAATACAGCCATATTCAAGTAACACAAATCCATTGCCTTCACCAAACACCTACACTTCTACTGATAATTCTTCGGACTCATATATTCAGATCGACATATTCAATTAAAACCGATTATTATAAAGTGACCTATTTAGTCTATTTACAAAAAAAAAAAAAATATGTTCAAGTTTTAAGTATAAATGTATTTAAGTATAAAATTTTAACTTGCACCAAATTATGTCATTTAATTTTAAACCCAAGAGTGGATAAGTTTTTTTTTAATTTTAATATTTTAATGTTTTTATTTTTTTTTAACAATTACATTTGTAATACGAATTTTTTTAATAAAACTTATAAATATTGTTATCTAATCGTATATGATAAAATATTATAATTAGTATTTAATTAGTAAATAACTAAAATTATACCTTACCTTAATGTTACGACCAATTTTTCGACAGGTGAAATACATTCCCTCATATTTGTTTGTTGACCCGTTAAATCTTGCTGCAGAAGTTCCAGTAATTCATCAAAGGACTTAATTGACATTCTTAAATAATTAAAAAATTTATCTTCATACTTCCTCAAATCGTTATAGAATAAATTAAATAATCCTTTAGTAGAACGGTCAGATAGTAGTGGGTGCACCCAAAACTTCCTTTTTTTTTTCGTGTACGTAAAACTTTACTGCACAGGTATGCCACACATGCTAGCTCTTCGACTTCCATTTTGATATTGTACTAAACTTTAATTTCATTTCATGACGTGATAAACACATCTGGAAGCATGAAGAGTGGCGATACTTTTCTGGTGGCGCGACCATGGTGGCGCTGCTCTGGTGGCTTCGTGTGAAAGAGGCCAAAAGGTCGAGTTATCAATCATGTTTATTAAACCGAATTTCGCGACCAAACATTTGGTCCTTCGGGCCGGATTGCTATCAATAAATTACTGTTAGTGTATTTTTTGTTGTAGGATATTATTATTTGGTTATCCTATTGGCATCCTTATTATATTCTTTTGTCTTGTTTGGTATTTAGGTACTACATAATTTACAATGACGAGAAAAAATCAACAACAAACCAACTATGAACAAAAAAGGATCGAGTTAACGCGCGCGCGTGCCGCACGAGACGTCGCGTTACGGTCAATTAATAAGGTATTAAACATTGCTAATGATGCCGTAATTAAGCCCGAAAATCGTCCTACATTAGAAGCTCGAATTGTGTCATTAGATCAACTTGCCATTACTTTCAATAATGAACAAAAACATATTCTGTCAGTACTTGCCGAGAGTGACGAAATTGACGAGTTTATACGAATAGATGAGAATGTCACCGAAACAATGCAATCAATGTGTGATCAAATTAATGTGATAGTAGCAAAGTTAAAACCAAATAATTCGATAACCACTCCGCGCATTAATAATAGTCAGACTTTTATACAATCACTGGTTTTACCGAGAATAGAGATTCCTAAATTTGACGGTAATATCATTGAATGGTGTTCCTTCCGTGATATGTTTACTTCCTTGGTGCACGATAACGAACATTACACGGACATTGAGCGTTTCCATTATCTGTTATGCTATTTATTAGGTCCAGCGTTAACAATAGTAAAAGCAGTACCACTTACCGCCGACAATTATTCTATTGCTTGGAACGCACTTAAAGATCGGTACGACAATAAACGATTACTAGTTACTGCACACATTGAAAAATTATTTGCATTTGCGCCGTTAACAAAGGAGTCTCCGGCTTCACTTTCATTGTTCGTCAACACTTTTCGGGAAAATGTTTCAGCTATACAAGCTCTTGGAGTTAGTGACTTTGCTGGTTATTTACTATTCTACATCGGTTCACGAGTATGACACCATGTCACGACGATTATTTAAAGCTACTGTTGCTAAAAATCAAATACCTGACTTGAACTCATTATTAGATTTTGTATCACAGCGATGTAACATTTTGGAAAACGTTGGCAGTGGTTTTGGTATTAGTTGTGTGGGAAATAATGAAAAGACCTTAGGGAAGACAACCACTAAGATGATCCAGGGCAAGAAGTCCGAGAAGAGACATCATTAGCCGTGATCACACCTGCAAAGTCAAAAAGGTGCTTGTTTTGTAGGAATTCACATGCAATTTTCAAGTGTTTTGGATTCCGAAAACAACCAGTTAGCAGTCGCCGCGATTTTGTTAGTAAAAATCAATTATGTTTTGTTTGTTTGAACAGCGGGCACTTGAGTAATGCGAGTCCTACGTCTTTTACGTGCCGTACGTGTTAAGGTAAACATAGTACATTACTACATCTGGCAGATGAAATTACAAAGTCAAGTACCGATAAGATAAATGAAAAGTCCGAACGAGCCACTACAAGTTGTAATGCAACACAGGTTTCGGGAGTGACATATTCTGAAACCACTGTTTTGTTGGGAACTGTTAGGGTTCGGGACGATACTGGAGTTTTACAAGCAGTCCGGGCAGTGTTAGACAGTGGATCACAGGTGTCTGCAATGACAGTAGATTGTGTCAACCGGTTAGGTTTGACTCGAAGGAAGTGTCTTGTTGAGGTCATCGGACTTTCTCAACAACCAGTTACCACTGTCAAAGGTCAAACTAATTTTACATTTTTCCCGGTACAAGCCGACGCTCCCGAATTTAAGGTAATCAATGTCATTGTCTTACCTCGCATTATGTCAACGATGCCTAACAGGGTTTTGCCAGCTGAGGTACGAGATCGTTATCGTCATCTAGTCTTTGCTGACCCCAAATTTGACCAACCCGCACCAATAGATATGTTGATTGGAGAAGACTTATACCCGTCCGTCATCCAATCTAGGGCAGACGTTATACACACAGAAGGTTTACCATCAGCGATGAATACACAATTAGGTTGGGTCATAATTGGCGCGTTACAGGATAACACACATACTCCGCTTACGTCTCTGTCGATTAGTACAACCCCTCCGATTGAAGAGTTGATGCAGCCTTTTTGGACAGTAGAGGAACCCACAGAGTCAACAATGCCAACTACACAAGACAAGCAATGTGAAGACTGGTTTGTCAAAACCATGAAACCAGACGCCGCTGGTCGATTTTATGTTGGTTTACCGTTTAGAACAATAGTATGCTCCCCAAATACAGTCGACATCGGAAGTCAAGATGATGGGTCGGTAAATTTAGGGTCATCTAGAACTTCAGCTCTTAACCGATTGTATAACCTAGAGCGTCGCCTTGAAAAGGATTCAGAATTATATACTGCCTACCGGACCTTTATGGATGATTACAGAGCGTTAGGACATATGAAGTTAGCGACTGAGCCAGGCAAATATTTTATACCCCACCATCCGGTAGTTAAACGGTGTAATGAGGAAATAAAGATTCGTGTGGTGTTTGATGCCTCAGCTACGTCTTCATCCGGAGTCTCATTAAATGACTGCTTAGTGACTGGACCAAAGCTTCAGACAGAAATCGGTGATGTTTTGTTGCGCAGTCGACTACACAAATTTGTATTTACAGCCGACATCACTAAAATGTACCGTCAAATATGTTTACATGAACAAGATAGAGTTTATCAACATAGACAAGGCCGTAGCCAGGGGTGGTGGGTTTCGGGTTCAGACCCCCCCCCCCCCCCCCGAAATTTTTTTTTGAAATAATATTGAATAGTTTGAATAGTTTTGTGTCCTCCAAACGATTATAAGTTTCTTGTGACCGCGGGAAAACGAAATTTGCGATTTCAACGTCATTGGATGGATCAGTATTCGTGGTTAACCTACTCAGATCTGTTAAATGGCGTTTTGTGCAAATACTGTGTAGTTTGTGCCAGAGAATGTGCAGGAAAAGGAAATCACGCTAAATTAGGGGTTCTGGTTTTAAACAGTTTTTCAAACTGGAAAAATGCGTTGGAAACTTTTCAATTACATTCAAATAAATTGTACCATAAAAAATCAGTAGAATCTGCTGAACACTTTTTATCTGTACAACGGGGCTTACAACCAAATATTGTTCAACAAATTGATGTAGGTTTAAAAAAACAGATTGAAGAAAATAAAAAAAAACTTCGTCCAATAGTTAATACCATAATAATGATGGGTAGGAATTTCGGGGTACTTCGGATTTTGGACGATTGACGGTAAGCGATAGCGAACCTATAATAAACGACGGTAATTTTCGTGCAATTTTACGAATGCGTGTTAAATCTGGAGATTCGGAATTAAAAAATCATATTGAAAGTGCTCCAGGTAATGCACTTTATTCTAGCCCGGATATACAAAATGAATTGATTTCGATTTGTGGAAATTTAATTCTTGAAAAAATAGTCAATAGAATAAATAAATCAAAGTGTTTTTCAATTATGGCAGATGAAACAACCGACATAAGTAAAATTGAACAAATGTCCTTATGTATCCGATATATAGATATGTCTGCAGATAATTGTAATGAACTTAAAATAAGAGAAGACTTCTTAACATTTGTCCCAGTAATTGTTACCGTAAATGTTACCGGAAATGGGATAGCATCAAGTATTTTAAATTCATTAAACAGTATGAAAATAAATTTAGAACTATTATGTGGTCAAGGTTATGATGGGGCGGCGGCTATGAGTGGTCATTTAAATGGTGTACAAGCTAAAATTAGAGAACATTATCCTAAAGCTCTGTACGTCCACTGTAGCGCTCACTCTTTAACCCGTCATTGCTCGCGTGTGAGAATTTCCCTCACATAGTTTTTAGGTTGGTAACCACTGGCTTGTGGGTTGTTATATTTTTCCCAAATTCATAGTACCTTATGACGAAGTATTTAAAAATAGATTTATTAGTTGACTGGCACGATTGCGTTCCGATAACGATACCTATTGCTTTCCGAAATCAACTAGTCGTATTTTGTGAGCGAATCCCTCGACGCGCGAGTAATAGCGTTTTAATTTCACATTCATATTTTTGTTTTATTTTTTCAAAAGTATGAGTGAGTTAATTAGTTCGTGTTTAAATGAAGATATGGAATCACTAAATAATTCGTGTAGTGATGATAGTGAAAATGATGACAATACAATATCTGTGGAACGACATAATGAGGTAAACTACGAGAGCGACGAACCTACTGAAAACACTGGCGATGAATCAGAACCTGACGATGAAGGTGAGAATGAATATTATTTGGGCAAGGATAAAATTACCAAATGGAAAAAAAATCCACCTCCACGCAATATCTGTACTGCTCATTGCAATATAATTACTCATTTACCGGGAGTGAAACCTCATGCGCGAAATGCAAAAACAATTATAGAATCTTGGTCACTTTTCTTTCCTGACAACGTTATTCAAGAAATTGTTACTTACACTAACATCTATTTGACCAAAATTAGAATAAATTATGGTAGGGAACGAGATGTCTTGAATGCGAGCGTTGTTCGGTCTTTTGTACATAGCTGGTATGATGAAAATAAATCATCTAAATTTGTCGGATCTTTGGTCAAATGATGGGTTATCGCCGGAGTATTTTAGAGCTGTTATGTCTAAAACGCGTTTTTATTTATTATTACGAGCACTAAGGTTTGATAATATAAATACTCGCAATGAAAGGAAAAAATTTGATAAATTAGCACCTATTCGAACTATTTTTGATGAATTTGTTGATCGCTGTAAATTAAATTATACTGTCGGGGAATATTGTACCATTGACGAGATACTAGAAGGTTTCAGAGGAAAATGTAATTTTCGGCAATATATTCCTAACAAACCTAACAAGTATGGTATAAAAATATTTTCACTCGTAGATGCTCATTTATTTTACACAACAAATATAGAGGTTTACGTAGGAAAACAACCTAATGGTCCTTATAATCAAGATATTAGTGCATCAAGTATTGTCAAGAGGATGATCTCTCCAATTTCCAAAACGGGTAGGAACTTGTCCATTGATAATAGGTTTACATCTGTTCCATTGGCCGTTGACCTGTTACAAAATCATAAAATTACTATGGTTGGGACAATTAGAAAAAATAAAAGAGAAATACCTCCTATTTTTTTGGACACAAAGAAACGAGAAGTGAATAGTAGTAAATTTGGATATAGTAAAGAATGTTTATTAGTATCATACGTACCAAAAAAAAATAAAAATGTACTGATGTTGTCAATAATGCACAAGCACTAACCTGAAGTAATTACTTTTTATATCCTTACCAAAGGAGGAGTCGACGTTGTTGACGAATTAAAAGGTGAATATTCCGTAGCGAGGATTAGTTGTAGATGGCCTCTTACCATATTTTTTTCTCTTATGAATATTGCTGGTATAAATAGCCAAATTATTTATAAAGCCAACACTGATACTACTATAAGTAGACGTCAATTTTTAAAATCTCTTGGGCAAGATCTTTGTAAACCATTTATGGTACAACGACTGAATTGTAAAAATTTGTCTTTTGATCTTCGAAAACAAATAAATCGTTTCACCGGTCAAATCTCCACACCAACTCAAGAGGACCCAAGACCTACAGAAAGAGTTAAATGTGCTTACTGTTCTGCAAGGAAAAATCGATATACCGTGGTAAGTAGATACACTACTAAGCTCAAATATATATATACAATTCTTATTTTATATTTTATACCTAGGTAAAATGTGCAAGCTGCTCTGTGCCATTATGTAAAGAACACACATTAGCCCTATGCAGTTTGTGCAATGAAAACACCGAAGATTTAGATGATTAGTTTAAGTTTGTAAATTAATTCATTCATACATAATACATTTTAATTATTTTCTCATTATTATTTTGCAGAAAACAGCTTATAAAATTAAATTTCATAGCACACAAGTCAATATAATTATTTTTTTTTCGATATATTAATAAAGAATATTCAAAATTGGTTTATTTTATAATTTATCAATTATTTGTTCTTAAAATATTACATTCATGATGAAATATACTAGGTGAGCGAATCGCTCTACGCGCTAGTAACGGTGTTCAAATTATACGTGCGAGTCATGACGGGTTAAACCTGGCACTAAGTCATTCTTGTAAAATTCAAAAATTTCGAAATTCTATAGGAACAATTCATACTATTTGTAACTTTTTTAAATCATCAGCTCAGCGTACACAAATATTAAAACAAAACATTCTTAAGTATATACCAGGAACTAATAAAACTACGTTAATTTCAATGTGTGAAACGAGGTGGGTTGAAAACCATGATGCACTCCTAAGATTCATTGAAATTTATTGTCCAGTCTTGTACACGTGTCAATAAAAAATATGAAGATATTAAACCTTGTGTTGATTTTTATATTGGTAATTCAAACTCACTAGCTATTGAAGCAGAATTTTTGTTATGGCAGACAAAATGGACCAAGATTTTGGAGAAAGATAGACCATCAAATGTTTTTAACGCGTTGTCCCAGTGCAATCTAGATTTTTTTCCGTCAATTTCTTATTTATTAAATGTGTTGGGAACTTTGCCCGTATCAACATCAACACCTGAAAGGACGTTTTCAACTTTAAAACGCCTAAAAACGTTTTTAAGAAACAGAACCGGACAAGAAAGGTTAGTAGGACTAGCCCTCATGAGTGTACATACAGATATTGAAATTGACACTGAAGAAGTTATCAAAAGATTTTCAAATAATTCAAGGAAAATGAAATTAATATAGTTGTATTGTAGTACGTTTTACACATTTTTTTTATTTTTAATAATATAACATTTATACTCTAACCCCCCCCCCCCCCCCGGAAATATTTTTCTGGCTACGGCCTTGATTCACTTTGCATTTTTTTATATTTTTTATGCACAACAAAATAGGGAATATATTAGTTTGGTAATTTTTAGGTTCAAGTGGTATAAATATAAGATACACAGAGAAGCATATGTATAAAGAAGGGTCTAGTGGGAGGTCTACGCCTTTACTACAAGATAACATTGAAATAGTGGCACCATCAGTACTTCCTTCTACTATGCAAAGCTCTGATACTGGTTAGTATAAATTATAGAAGTGTCCTTTTCTTTATTGGTTTATTATAAATTTGTTCTTATTGTTAAATATATTTTTTTTCTTTATTACAGAAATTGTTAAACGTATATTACAAGTAGTTTTAAAAATAAGGTATGATGTTGAAAGTTTGGGTCAAAAACTGCAACAAATGGATAAAAAAAATAGAAGAAAGTTGTTTAATTAAATCAGCTGTTAATGAATCAACTTATATTGAAACAATAAATCAAGAAAACAATTTTGAATCTCTACTTCCTTTAATGAATGAAGATGATCTTAATATGTTTGAAAACAAGCTCTCTGATAGAAGTTTCAGATTGAATGTGATAAGTTTAAATAATGTATAATCTGTATGTTTTTAAGTATACAAATTTAAATTTAATGTTTTTTAGGTAAATGGCCTCAAACGTTTAGTTAGAAAAACTTAAGCTTCATCAATACGCCAAGTAATGCGTAAACTATTTTCTGATGAATTATTAAAATACTAAAGTTACATTGGTCAAAAAAAAAAGAAAATATTCTCGACATTGTCATCTTGTACAATTATTTTTGGTAAGATTGTTATAGTACACTTATATAGTGACCATATTTTTTCATATAGGTACATACTATAAAAAAAAAACTGTTTTAGTAGACTATGTATTTGTAATAATACATACTTATTCATACCAATATCACACACTCTTAACTTAAATTATAATAATAACAATCCCATAGGCGCAAATAATAGTTGAGGTCAGAGGGGGGGCAAAGCCCTAGCTACATAATGAAGCATTTTTGGAAGTTATACTAAAATAATATAAACACACTTTTATGTTGAAATCTTGATGTTAAATTTATCCTTTATACAAACAAAATAATTTTAAAAAAAGTATTTTTTATAATATGAAATTCATAATTTATAAGTTTTTACAACACAACATACCTTCTTATCAAATGGAATGAAGACTGTTGAAAGTTTAATTTAAATAATTGTATCAATTCCTGTTAAATTTGTAAGCTCTATTCTAAAAATCACTAATCAGGTACTCATATACTAACTAAAATTGGATAGTAAAAAAACTGAAATGAAGAAATGTTAGGAGGGAGCTATGCTATTTTTGGGGTGCTTAGCCTCTGAAGCCTACCATCCTTATTATTAACAGTTTAAACTGTAAGTGAGTCTTACAGTTTAAATTTTTTTCATAGATTAAATAATAGCAGTAATTGAATAAATTAATGTTTTGTAAAAATGTATACAATTTAACATTGATCTTTAATGATTGAAGTTTTCCCCTATTATTTTTCAGAAACCATAAGAAAATGTACAGATTTTCAAAATGCTTTAAATACTGAAATAGAAGAACCTATTAAAATATACATCGCTGGAGCAGCATTTAAAAAAAAAAAATAATCTTATTTAATTAATTTGTTGTTAATTTCTTTATTATTATAAATAAAAGTAATTTTTATAATACTAATATTAAAATATATGTAAATATATGTATCTTGTACCTGTTATTTGGGTGTTGAGCAAAATATTGAAGGAACAATAAATACCCAACCTATATATGTTTTGTACATATATAGATAAGGTTTTTTTTACTGTATTAAAAAATTAAACAAAGAATATCTATACAAATGTAAATGTTCTTTTACTTTATAGTGGTATAATTGTAATATACTAATAATATATACCTACTTAAAAAACTGCATTGTTTTAAAGCATACAATATGTATACATAACTCTAATTAGGAACTTAAAATGTTTGATTTCAGTACTCTAAAAAATATTAATTTAATCACTTTTTTTGTCCTATTCTCCCATATCTGGACCAGAGTTTAGATTTCAACTAATTTTAACTATTGTTCTGACTGTCCAAGTAGATTTAAGTGATTCCCATTCCAACCCTAGCAAAATAGTTTAAAAAAGTATGACAAAAAAATATTTTAATTAAATACTTTTTATATTATATTAAAATTTAAAAAATAATAATATAATATTTATTTCAAAATAATATTTAATATTTTTTTTTTAATATTATAATAATAACACAAGTATAATAATATAGTAATAATGCACACCTGGCAGAATAATAATACTAAAATATTACAAAAACATTTTTATTTTGTAATTATACTGAAATAAAAATGATCAAATAATATTATTCATTATATTTGTAATTTTATGAAAACATTATTATAATACGTTTTTGCTATCTGGGATATAACTATAAAAGTAGTGAGTAAATCTCTTTATTTCTGTTTGAAAAATATGTATTTCTATGTATAAAATACATACTTATGTTACCTATACCATAATTGCAAATCGATAGCATGACTAATTAATTTGGTGAGTAATTTTTATATTATGTGTTTTTTTTAATTTTTTCTAACTATTTAGCCATTTTTTTCAATTATTCCATTTTAAAATAATTTATATTTCATAATTAACAATGGGCTTTGTTGAATTCCTTATAATTTAAGGTACTGCAACGTTCTATACGGTATAATACAGTATTATACATGGGCGTCCCCAGATATTTTTCTAGGGGGGAGAGGGCAAAATTAATTTAAAAAATAAATGAAAATTTTTTATACATTTTATTTATAGTAAATTATTATATTTCGTCATTATTAAAATTATGAATTAAAACATTACTGACATTTATGTATAATGTACAATTAAAACATCACTCAAAAAATACATTAAAATAAAATAGTCCGATTATTATTAATGATATTTTTCATAGATAGCCGTCAGCCGTGCATTGACATAATATGTTATGGAAACTTAGTAGATCTATAGTAGAACCGCCTATGAATACATATTTATTTATTTAATATAATTTATATTTTTATATTAGATTGATGAGTTATAATTAGTAAATTACAAAATAAATATTTTTTTTAAAACAATATGTTGTATTTTAATTACCATAGTAAATAACAGTACATTGACTGCAGTAAATTGTTGTTATTACTGTTAAGTTTACATTAATAATTGTCGATTGTTCACAATTTAAATTTTAAAAAGCCAAATACTAATAAACGCTAACGCAGAAATGCCGCACACGAGGTTTGAGAATTATTGAGTATGTTATAAATTGTTATAATAGCCGTGCTGCGTAGCGTCGGAAAGTTCAGCTGTGCGGACAAGGGAAACGCGCGTATTGTTGCCGCTTATAACATGATGGTCGAAGGCGTGGGGACGTGTAATATCGATAACACTATCATGGTCTCCGTCGGCCGATCGGATTGCTGTGGGTTTTTCATTAATTTTAGATCTAATTTTAGATTATCAAAACAAGGCCAATTATTAGTACACAAGTTACGTCAAAATAATAATCACACTCTTAAAATGAATTACAAACAAAATATTAAATACGCTACATTTACTAAAACTTTGAAATCATTTCAAATGTTTTTATAGGCTTCATCTATTTATGGTATAATTTTTGATTTTGACTTTTTTTGAGCTATTTATAGGCAGTTTTCAATTTTTCTTATTTTTTTTTTTCTGAAATGTCGATAAACACAATTTGGCTGGCCTAAAATTCTTGAAAATTTAATACAAGGTTCTCATATGTTGTTCTTATCGCCATTAAAAAAAAAAAAATCAAAAATCGTAAGTCACATTTTTTTTTATAAGCGTAGAAAGTTGTATGGGCTCAAGTTAAAAACTTGCATTTTAGGTACCTATACGGCTATACATCTTCACTATAAAGTATATATTATAGCGAATGAGCACCAATACAATTTACAATAATATTATAATAATACGATCATGATCAGTTCATCTTGACACTTGGCGATTATATATATAACGAAATATGAAATTTAATATATTATAAAGCTTTCAAAAATTTGTATTTTTTAAATCGTAACGGTTGCCGAATGCCAAGATGAACTGATCATGGGTACCTAGCTAACCTAGGTATTTTTAACCTGAAACGATAAAATACTATTCAAAAGTCAAAAATGACAACATTTCTATACTAAAACAAATTTTCATCATTAAAATCATAATATTTCTAACGTAGCTTCTGCTATATAACTATAATATAGTTATAATAATATATAGTTTTAACAGTAGGGGCGGGATATAGGACAATAATAATAGAAGCAATTAGGGGATTGGTAGGTCCCAGTTGGTAAAAATATTTAAAAACATACAATTTGCTTCAAAGACTCAAGTTCGCACCGCCACTGATTATTATTATGACGTATTATAGGTTAGTAGGTATATATATATAATATAATATATGATAACGCTGCTGAGTGCTGTTGCACATTTTATGGTAAAATATTTAATCACCTAAAATGTCCTAAATTATTATATAAATATGCTAAATATATGTATATAACTACGGTATATATATATATATATAACTATTATATATTATATAGAACTATATAATATTGTATAATATAACAATTATATAATAATAACTTTTTAAAAGATTTTAAAAATAATATTAATATTACCATATATAAAAAACATTAAAATAATAATATAATTTAATTACCGAAAATATATTGTGTAAATATCATAATAATATTTTTATTATAACATTATATTTCTAATCATATTTGTGTACTGCAATAATAATAATATTATATTATTATCATTACACAATTGAGGACTTGAAATCAATAACGGGCTAAGTGCCAAAAAGTTGAATTTAAGTTATTCACAATTTTTGTTAAACCAGAGGAAAAATGTAAAAATATAAGTCAATAAAAATGTAAGACCCTTTATTAACTTATACTTTACCCAACTCACGCAAAATAGAAGTTTTATTTCACTCCTTGATTTAAAAAAAAAATCTTATACCAAAAAAATTTAAAACGTGTTAAGTCACTGCAATATGTATAAGTAAAAACGTGCCAAGTGCCAAATAAAGAATTTTTTATTTTTTTACAAATTAAACAGATTTAGTTGAAATATTTTTGATATTTTTTAGTTTTATATACTAAGTAATTAGACTTAAGTCTTTACAAATAATAAAAATTTAAAGTAAAAAAATAACTTAATTTACTTAATTAATTGTTCAAAGAAATTTTTATTTTCTTCTTTAAGAAATGGTAGCATTTGCTGAAGATCTTTTTTTTTTTCAACTGATATTTTATTTTCACAAACCAAGGACGGTAAATCCATTTCTTTTATCGTGCCTTTTTTGAGGACTTTGCACGAGCTCCAACTTTCAAGTTCACTGAAGGTAGCTTTTGTTTGCACCATACCAGGCTTGTCTTTTGTTATTTTGAGCCAAGAACATTTTGAAATTTGAAGTTTTTCGGTTTTTAAGTACATATCTGCTGCTTTTTTGAAATCATAGAAATTATTGGGCTTCAATAAAGTGACTATAAACGGGTTATTTGGTGTTGCGTGAACCATGAGTCTTACCAAGTCCATTGGAACTTCACACTTTTCGACTCTTTTACGTTTTTCAATTTGGGCGAAATCTCTATCACAGGACAGAAATGAATGCCCAGACACTAGATACTTATGGTTAATTTCATCAAATTTATCTGTGAGTGTTAAAAATATCCAAAGAAATAATAGCATCTTGTTTTTATTTTGTCCAATACAGTTATCGGACCAAATAGTTAGTTTACGTTTCATGGTTGGATTAGATTTCAATGCTTCAAAAACACATGAAGCGATTTCATTTCCTCCGCGGCCACTCATTCCTTCGTGCCATAAGAACATATGCCCCTTATTACTGTCACCAAAATGTACACCTAAATTGTAACAGGACAACTGACGTGAATAAAACATTTGACTGTGCGTTAATGAAGGCAATGATAAGACCTGTTCTAAATCCATAGAAAACATGCAGACATCGCTGGTAGGGAGCTGAGACAAAGTCGTATCTCGTTTCATTTGTTCCCTAGCTTTTTCAGCTTTTTTGTGATAAAGCTCTAACATATTTTTAGCATGTTTATCTCGAGGTTTCGCCACTACTTCCGCTGTTAACAAATCACATTTACTACATGTATCTATACGTGGCTTTTGGAAAGATATATTTGGGCATTTTTGTTTAAACGTTTCAAAGAAAAACCTGTAGGTGACAGGAGAATTAGGAAATTTATCTTTAAACGAATGAAAAAGTCTACTTATATTTAAATCTTGGCTCAAGTATTCTTTTTGACTTTTTTTTCTCCCGTAATGACTTTCATCTTTCGGAAAGGAGTTCACATGCTCTATTATAAGGTTTTTATCTATATCTGTATACTTGCTTCTATTCTGTGTATTACCACGTGTTTCATTATACACAGTCTCTCCATTTTTCTTTTTTACCACTAAAGTCTCAATTCTGCGTTTAGTCACCCCAAAAACTTCCATAAATGATTTTTTACAAACCTGTATAATGTTGCCCGTTCCATCTGGCATAGAAAAACATACAGTAACTTGTCATCTGCTGTCTTTCGGATCAACATACTGACCATGACGCCTTCTTTTCACCGGAGTAATAATTATCAGACCCATCAAATAAGTATTTTGTTTACAGTTGTCTTTTAAGGCATAAAAGTCATGAAATAAGAGTTTTTTTTGAGTATGTGGAATACTGCGACTGTGAAACTTACATTTACAACTGACCTCTTCTTTCGGTTCTGTTTTTCTTTCAACCAAAACATTTTTACTGTTAACGTATGGTTTTCCTTCACTTCTACGAATTTTTCTTTCGTTACGCACTGACTGTTTTTTTGACATTTTACTATTAATAAATAGGCAATTTTAGTAGAAAAACTATTTGTGAAAATATAATGCGTGTGTACCTATTCTATTCAAACGATAAACATGTACTAATAACTGAAATAATAATATCCATACCCTACAAGACAGCAAAAACATAATTAACAAATTTATAACAAATCAATGGCAACAGATATGGCAAACAATGCACACCAAACTTAATGAGATACACCGTCAATATATCCATGGCCAGTTACATCTTTACCTCGTAGGCAAGAAGTAATCCTCAACAGATTAAGAATTGGCCACACATGGTTGACCCACGGACACCTCATGAACAGAACGGATCCTGCTCTATGCCCCACCTGTGAAGTAACTCTCACAGTCAAACACGTAATTTGCAACTGCCTAAAATACAGAGACATCAAGGACAGTCTAGAAATATCCGACAACCTCCAGCAAGCACTAAGTCCAGACCCAGAAAATGTTTACAAAATTTTTAAATTTTTAAAATTAACAAAAATGTACAATTTAATTTAATATAACTCTTTATGTATTCAGTTGTACCTCCCTTTAACATGTAAATATAACTTTAGATTAAAAAGCCAATAACCATTGTAGTTGTGGCTTCATCATTAAAAAAAAAAAAAAAAAAAAAAAAATAATATTTATTATAAAACGGATCGTGTCGCCATGGGAAATACTAATAATTGATAAATATGATTATAAATAAACACGTATTGTAAAATTATCAAATTCTACTAACTCCTAGCTTTAGTAGGGAAATCATTTTTTTCTTTCAATTTCAAATAATGCAAAGATAATAGTTTTTTTTCTTAAAACGTTTAGTGGCACTTAGCACGTTAATTCACCATAAAGTCCCGGCACATACCACACTAGCCATCTACCGAATATATTTAACCTATGATTATTAACCGAGGCACTTAGCCCGTTTCACATTTTATTGGGCTTGGCACTTAGAACATTTTTCTGAGACTAACTTAAAAATCAACTTTTTGGCACTTAGCCCGTTATTGACTTCAAGTCCTCAATTGTTATCTGAGATACTATCTCATTGTACCTATATATTTACAATATTTGAATATTATAATAGTACAATAAATTTATTTTAGTCATTTTTAACACCTGAATTCTAAATTAACACGATTACAATAATATTGTATATTTTTAATGTTTATAATAATACGGTACTTTATTGGAGATCAATTTTATAAGTACAACTAAAAAATTAATAGTTGAGTTACTAAAAATAACTAAAAATAACGCTTTCATTTTTACTTTTATACTGTCTATATAAAATAATTTCATACCATATGTATAATACCTTGTATAATACAGTTTTATACCACTGTATAATACAAACTCACTGCACTACATTTATTAAATAAATATTTAATTAGATTTAGTACTTGTATTTTTATTTATTCACTCGAATGAACAACAGGAACATGAGCTATAGGTAATGAACCAGAGGCATACCAAGAATTTTTTAGGGGTGGTTCAAAATTTTTATATATCTGTTTTCCAATTATAATCATAGTTTAATTCAATACCAACTAATTACTGTTGATAACTATAGTAATAGTCACAATTGTTATACACACATCACATATATACTTCACAAAGGTTTACTATAATTTGATATAAATTTTTATTTGGTAGTAAAATGTTATAAAAAAGTACATTACAAAAAAAAAACACTAAAAATGCAGTATAAATTAAACATGGTTTATACATTATAGGTATATAATGTATATCATATTTCATACGGAATATCTTTCGAAAAATGCAACCTGACCATCAATTATTTTAATATTTTCACGAATTCTGATCCAATATCAAATTGTATGTCTCGTATGTTACAGATTCAAGGTCAGATTTATCATAGAGCTGGTTCATTATTGCCATTCCCTGACACTGAACCTCAATTTTTGCAAATCTATTTTGTTGGGAATAGCAATGATGAATTGAATCGGCGTTGTACAATTCCTCCAAGTGCAAGGCGTCATAATTATTTTGGACCTGTAAATTTTTTTCCATCAACACAATGAATTAGTTCAATTGTTTAAAACCGATAATCATAGGATAGTAATAAGAGCCGACAAAACGCCTTTTGGAGAGCATGCAAGACGCTTCAATGCACCAACCATTGATGAAGTGGCCATTGTAATTGTTGGAGAGCAGTTTCTATCTCGCGATATTGTGCTACACCGAAGAAATGAGCAATTGCAGCGTGTATCAGAGCTTCATCGTATGCATTACAGTATCTATTATTGCATTGGAAAGGTGACGACGGCTATTATATCAATATACCAATGATAGATCCATGAGCCGGTAACATATTCATATGAATTGAAAATGTATTCATTTTAAAAAAATCAGACATATAAATTTTCTATCATTGTATTTATTACAGGTCGCGACATACCAGGCAAGACAGTTAATGCGATGAACTATTACTCATACAGATTCATGGTTCGTCCACAAGAAGACAACTTCATTTTGAGGTGTGGCAAACTATTCCATCAATATGCTGTGGACATGTATGCGAAGATTGAATCAGAACGTCTCAATTACCTTAGATTCAATCAAGCGGCATTGCGATCGGAAACTCTTCCGATCGCAATGCCGCTTGATTGAAATGTTCAAAACGGTACCCAAGAGCATTGAATTCTGACACAATAACAGGTGATGATGGATATCCGTTGTACCGACGTCGGTCTACGAAAGATAATGGCCATACGGTAACGATTGGAATGCAAAATCAAGATATCGAAGTTGATAATCGTTGGGTAGTTCCATACTCACCACTATTGTCGAAAATATTTAAGGCACACATTAACGTTGAGAATTGCAATTCGGTCAAATCGATCAAATACATTTGCAAGTATGTCAACAAAGGCAGTGATATGGCTGTTTTCGGAGTAGCTGCTGACAATAGTCATGATGAAATGGCTCAATATCAAATAGGCCGCTACATCAGCACTAATGAGACTCTTTGGAGAATTTATTCATATCCGATGCATGAACGGTTTTCTGCTGTTGTTCATTTGGCAGTTCATCTTAAAAATGGCCAACGTGTATATTTTACCAATGAAAATATTCAAGAGAAAGTGGCACGTCCATCAGCAACAACATTAACCACATTTTTTCAATTGTGCGCAAGTGATGAATTTGCCAGAACTTTGCTGTATTCAGATGTAACGCATTATTACACTTGGACTGCACAAAAAACATGGCAACGGCGTAAAAAGAGAACAGCAGTTGATGGCCATCCAGGTCTTTTCTATGCACAAACTATGGGAAGAATACACAGTTCATCCAAATATGGTAGAATGTTATTATTTGCGGCTGTTGTTAGTGAATGTTGTGGGGCCGCGTTCATTTGAAGATTTGCGAACAGTTAATGGTCATTTATGTGCTACGTATCGTAAAGCGCGTGAGCATTTGGGTTTACTGGAAAATGATGCATATTAGGATTCATCACTTCAAGATACATCGATCGTTTCATTTCCACATCAAATACGTATGCTGTATGCCATAATAATATCAACATGTTTCCCATAGAATCCGATTGAATTGTGGAATAAATATCGAGATTTTATGACGGAAGACTTTTTGATTCGAATGCGCCATCACACAGGAAACTCTGATTTGATCATAACATTGGAAATGTATAATGAGGCAAAATAACTTGCTACCTTCAACTCAAGATTTGCTTAAAGATACCTAGTTAAACCAAATTGTTTTCAGTATACTTATACTTTTATTTGTATTATTTAATACATAGTTTTTTTAAGTAAAAAAAAAAAAAAATGTATGAATTGTTCATTGAACTTACATAATAATAGGTAATAATAAATATATTAAATATTATAATATTAAAAATAAATATTATATAATAATAACTAGCTGAAGCCGTGCACTTCGTAGCCCATATATAGAATTCGCCCGTGTGCAGTTATTGCTTTCTCTAAATGCAATTCTTAAATCAGATGTTTATTATTTACCTTCTTTCTTTTTTCGATCCCCTAGCAACAAACGAATATAATACTATAAACGACGTAAATTTTCAAACGAAAATAATAGCTCGTAGGTTGTACAGTTAAAATTAGTTTTATAATAACTAATAGCCGACTCCTGTGCGCTTCGCAGCACCAACACAAAAATGCAATAAAAATCATTTATTTTTTCTAAATTCTTTATTATTAATCATGTAGATGTAGTTCGATGTTCATTTCGTAAATGTTGAACAACATTTCGTTGTAAATGTGCCTCTTCACTTTGAGATCTCCTATGAGACTATTGGGCGACATAATTACGTGATCGTCGGCCAATATTTTGTTGTCTTGGTGGTGGCATTTTTTAACACCTAAATCCATACAATTCAAATTGAATAAAAATCAATCTCATTTAATCTCAAACCAATAAATATTACCATAGACGCGCGTGCCACGAAAACAAATAATAAAAAATAACCACATAGAGTGTATATATATATCCATGGCAAAACAATAATTTTTGAATATCGTGCGTGCGTGCGTGATTAATATTGTACACTTAAGAGGCCATAACTCCGGAACCACATATCGCACAGCGTACAAACTTCACATAAACCATCTATATATCAATCTTAATATGCCCTAAAATTTTTATCGAAATCGGTTCGGTGGATCTTGAGCTATAAAATTTATTCCTAATTAATTATAAGATATATACATATATTTTTTCTTTTATTTTTTTTATATTTTATTTAGAATCAAAAAACATTTGTAGACTTAAGTGGAGGCCAAAGAGCTATTTTTTTTACAACATGTTTCTTCTTATTTTAAATAAAAACACACATTACAAAACAAAAGAGAAAGTAAAAAAGAAATTAATAAAAACATTTTTCAAAAAATTATAAAATTAGACACATAATAAGACAAAAAATGGAATAATAAATAAAAAAAAAATGTGATAATATACAATGGACATTATTTAATTATAGTTTTGAGTTTTGTTGCATCGTTTTCATTAAGTAGCCACTGTGTGATGTATTTTTTGAAAATTGGTAGGGACATATCAACCATTTTTTTGGGCAATAAATTATGTATCTGTATCCCAATGAAATCGAACATTTTACGACATCCCGTTTTTTTTAAGAAATTTAAACGCATAGTTAGAATATTAGTATATTAGTAGCATATCTAGTATTGATTTTATGATTTATAAGGGATAATATATTATGTTTTTTTAGGTAAATGGTGCAAGTTTTTATATATAAATTATTTATATTGAGTACATTCAATTCCGCAAATAATTTTTCAGTTGGATATCTCCATTCTTTATTACCTGCAACTCTTAAAATAGTATTTTGGCATTTTTGAAGTCGCAATAGACAAGTATCGTAGGCATTTCCCCATCCGATTATGCTATATGTAATTATGGATTCAGAAAGGGTTAAATATATCATTTTTATATCTTTATGGTCTAGTATTTCTTCTCAGCTTTGTCAGAAATACTTTAACAGAAATAATTTGATTTGTCCATTTCATATCATGGTACATTTCAATACCTAGGTATTTATATTTTTTAACAAAGACACCAATTTACACTGGCACTGCTTTAGTAATGAATTGTTCCAATTTTATTCGTAGATTTTCAGTTAACTTATGGTAAGTAGGGTGTTTTCAGATAGGGAGTAAAGTAAAATAGCTGATTTATCAAAATTTAGAAATAAATTGTTTTCATTATGCCAGCTTTTTATAGTTAATAAATCGGCCTGGATATTTTTTAAATACTATTTCCTATGTGAAATCACTACAAATCAATACCATATCATCGGCGTAACATATAATATTTGGCGTGCCAAGTCAAATCACAATCATGACATGTTACCGATAAAGCCGATACAATTCAATGTTAACGGAACAGGACTTACATTGAGGCATGATAGATATATATACATTGTGCGAAAGTGATAAAGTAACAACAGAGAACGGAAAAGCAATAAGAGAACGACGTACACTAAATAATTGACAGTGTCATAATTGATCCAATATTTCTGTAACAAGGTTATTTCCCTAACAAGGTAGTGGATCTGGCCGAAACCAGCTCCGACAACAGAGACGGTTTCGGGGGCGCTGGTTCTTACCAAAAATTGGGTCCGCAAGTTGTGGATAGCGGTAGTTTAAAACTCCTTCATCGCGTGGGAGACAGGCGCGAGCCTACCCGAACAGTGAACTTGCGCAACGAGCGACCCGGGGCCACCGATGCAGATCGTCTGCGTAAAATGTGACTCGTGCTCCGAGCCGCGGAGCTGGATTACGATCTTTACAATTCCGAAGTCGTTCCCAGAGCATTACAGGGTGGCGGCTGGTCGGACGGCGGGAAACCGACCCGTCGTCTGGAGGGTTCGTTCTTCGACCCTCGGGTGGCTGCTGGCACGTCTCACGTAAGTCTCGGTCAACGTCACCTTATCCCGAGGCCAAACGCGGTAACGATCGGCAGACTGAGTAGTGATGGTGTCGGTTGCTCAGTCCTGTATGTCGGGAGCTGCCGGGGTAGCGTCCCGTAAGCTAGTTATGTTCAACCAATAATGACGATAAATTAAGAATGGTACGTCAGGGGGCTCGGTTAACCCATGGCGGCGTGTGTCCTAAGAGTCTTCCTGCCGCGCCTAGTTCAGACTCAGCTGACACTGAGGTTGGGGTTGTGGAGTCGACTGATAGGACCAGGCGCTGGGGGTCCCATATGGGACTTTAACCCCTGTGTTTTTATCATTAATTTTTCTTGTAGTTGTAGGACTATTATCGTTTCGGTGATTTTTATGGTAGTCAAAGGCATTATAAATATCGTAAAAACATAATTTCTATCTCTATCTAGTGGTTGGGTTACGATTTATAACTGTTGGAAACAATGTACACTGTAGTGTACCCTGGGGCTCTACGACTTTATTTTGCAACATTTTGCCGTTCCGTAACGAGGCACCATGGCGTGATAATCATAACAAAATATCAATAATGAAAACAAGAATTGATACTAATTATTGCTATTGACAATTATTACACATTATTACTGATTATGTGATATTATGTTGTAATCAACTACGTATTACCTATACCCAAATATTAATTTTTATCGTTAGTAATAAATAGAAAGTATCAGTGTTAGAAATTTATAAAATGTTGAGTGACGGCGACGTGTCAGATATAAGTGATGAAGGCAACGAATCGTTTGATGATAATTGTTTTCCTATTGAAGAACTTGACAACTTGTTGGACGAACTTGATGTATCAGATTTAAACCTTTTGGACCCCGGAATCGAACCTACTGTGATGGTTGAACCTGATTTTAATCCTACAGACAAACGTGTCATTCGATGGGTTCAAAAACCATCCAAGCCACCCATTATTAATTTAGAAAATATAGATAATGAGTATGTAAATGCAATAAAAACTCCCATACAATATTTTTCGGAATATTTTAGGGATGTTATTTTTACAAAAATATCATTTAATATTAATTTGTACGCAACACAAAAAAATTTAGGCTCTATGTCAAACCCACCGACGAATATGAGATAAAAAAAATTATCAGAATACACATATTAATGGGGTGTCTGAAATTTTCTTATGTACGAATGTATTGGCAAGAAGATTATATAGTAAATTTGATAGCTGAAAATATGAGCCGAAAACGATTTTTTTATTTTGAGAAATATTTTTCATGTTATTGACAATAATTACATACCACAGGGTAACAAAGACAAATTTATAAAGGTACGCCCTTTGTACGATTGTTTTTTACAAAAATGTTAAAAGCTTCCCGTAGAATGATATATTTGCGTGGATGAGCAAATGGTACCTTTTAAAGGCCAGTTGTCCATAAAATAATATGTAAAAAAAAGCTTATAAAATGGGGAATTAAGATTATTCTATTGTGTGGAGAAAGTGGTATAATTTACAATTTATTTCTTTTTCAAGGGTTTTTTGAATTAGACCATGAAAATATAAAAGTTTTTGGTTCCGGAGGTACAGTTGTTTTACCTTTAACCGAAAACATAAAACCTAACAAACATTTTCTTTTTTTTTTGATAGTTATTTTTCGTCCTATGGGCTTTTCGAAAAATTATTATACAATCAAATATACGCTGTTGGTACAATCAGGGTCAATTGGTTTGCTAAACCTCCTTTTTTATCCGATAAACTGATGCGACGGTTGGGAAGAGGAACATCGTTCGAAATAACAATTGACCATCATAATAAAAATATAGGCTTACTCAAATGATATGATAATATACCAGTACATTTGGGTTCAAACTTCGTTACATCTGGCGAAATTGATATAGTCCGTCGGTGGGCCAAAAAGAAGAAAAAGTATATTGATATAGAAAGACCTGAAATGGTTCGAGTATATTATTTTTGATGATAATTTTGTGCTTTATGATGATTTTGATACTCAATATAATGATAATCAAAATCCAATGTACTACAAATATTCTTCAGCAACAAGTTGACAATAATCCTTTTTTGTTAGATAACAATTCTAGAAACAAATATGATACTTCTAATATTGCAAAGAAAACCAAAAGACAAAAGAAAAGAAAGAAAGATTTACCCAAACATTTTTCTGGTAGTTGGAATTTTAATGAAGAATAAAATTCTAATCATTTAATTTTGATACTTCTCAATGTGGAGTAAATAAACATTTTATTGATAACCTTGCAATAGATGTTACTGAAATTGATATTTTCAAACTTATTTTTGATGAAGATTTAGTTCATCTCATTGTTGAAGAAACTAACAAATTTTATTACTTTCTAGTCAATAATAAATTATTAAAACAACATTCTAAACTTAATTTATGGAAGGATACTGATTTGAATTAGATGTATATAGTTATAGGTCCTTAACCTTTTGATGGCACACATAAAAAAAAATAATTTGGAAGATTACTGGTCTACTGATCCTATTATAGAAATACCATTTTTGGGTAAAGTCATGTCTCAAGATAGATTCTTTTTATTACAAAGACTGTTACATTTTAGTGATAACCGAAACCCATTTCCTGGCAATAGACTAGTAAAGATCGGAACAGTTGTGGAAACTCTAATAAAAAAATTTAAGTCAATATTCATACCACATCAAAATTTTTGTATAGATCAGCGTTTCTTATACTGTGTTCCGCGAAACCCTGGGGTTCAGTGAAGCTTAAGTAATTTTTTAAAAAATTTTAAGAAAATTACTTTAAAATTTCCAACTTAAGATTAGCAATGTTGAAAAACTGTTTGCATTATAGAAAAATAAATCTTTGTATATTAAATAACATGTATAAGCGATATGGAATAGTCTACATTTATATTTCAGTGCACATCACTGCGCATGCATCGTTACCATTTTGTAATATATCACTTAAATTCCGCATACAAGGTTTTTTTTTACACCTCAATTCCGCACATAATTTTTTTTTTTTAACATCTTAACTCCGCACATCATTTTTATATATATTTTTGTACATAATTTAAAAAAAACAATCGGTATTCTATCAATTAGCCATCGTTATATAATTCTATGTTATTATTTATAAATTCCATATTGGTTTAGTTCTAACTACCCTACTTCATTATTATTAGCAGAATTCATTCGTATGTAAGAATCCGTCTGCGTAGCTAATAAGTTTTTAATGAAAACTGCAATATTTAGATGTAGGTACTGAAGTAAATAAATTACCAAATTTTGCATGAAAAGACTCATAGTTGTTTATTGTTCTCTCCAGTATTGCTTCTTTTTTGGTCCAAATACTGGGTGGAAATATTGCATCGTTTTTTATGTATCTTTTGTCTAAGTAAGTGATCATTTTTTTAATTTGTGAATCTTGGGTTGGTCATTTTTAAAGTAATTTTCAAAACATAGTTTTATGCTATGCGGACTTTCGGTGTTAAAAATATTTTTAGAATGCGGAGTTGCGGATTTACAAAATAATTTTATTCGCGCGGAGCTACGGTGCGTCCTTATATTAAGTCTAATTAAAGTAATTATTATTAAAGTATTATTATTATATATGTAGATATTTTTTAGTTATTTTAATTTTAATTTTAAAACATTTTTTGAATTAAATACCTTTAACACAATATTATATGATTATAATTTATTTATAAAAAATTCTAAAAAAAGCTAAAAAAAAAAGTAGGGGTTCCACGATAAATGTGGACACCAAAAAGGGTTCCACAGATAAAAAAGTTTAAGAAACTCTGGTATAGATGAAAGTATTGTAGAGTCGAAAGGTCGCATTTAAGCAACATTTAAGCAATACATAGCACCAAAGAGACACCGCTTTGGAATAAAATTATTTGTTTTATGTGATTGTAAGTCAGGTTTTGTCCTAGACTTTTTAGTTTATACTGGAGATAACTAACATATTGATTTTAATGAATCCCTATCATAATCTGGTTCAGTTATTTCAACATTAATGAGTCCATATATTAATAAATGTCACACATTATACATGGATAACTGGTATTCATCTCCAACTCTTTATGAATATTTACTTGAGCATAAAACCGGGGCTTGTAGTACTGTAAAGAAAAGAAGGAAAGGGATGCCAGTTTTTCCTAAAAAATTGTCAAAAGATCTTTTTATATCTGCTATTTCTGAAAATCCAAATATTATTGCTTGTAAATGGAAAGATAAGCTAGATGTCCATATGTTGTCTACTGTCCATACACCTAAAATGGTATTTATAAATAAGTGTGACCGATCTGGCAATAAACTAAAAAAACCTCAATGTATATTAGAATATAATATCAACAGAGGCGTGCCCAGGATCAAAATGTAGGATAGGCCCGTTTATAATTATTTTAGTTTATATATGTACACAATACACATTATTTTTTTTTTTTAGAAACTTAATAATATTTTTAAATCGAATTAGAAAAAATGATTATAAAATTATATAACACAACACAATTTATTCCTCTTATTTGACTTGTTAATAATACTTAAAATTACATATTAAAAAATAAAATTAAGTTTTTATATAACTGAATAATACCTAAATGAATGCAAATAAAACAATAGTTTTTTTTAATTATAAGTACATAAAAATATAAAATATAATAATTATTTAGTCTTCGATTTTTCAATTTAGTAAACTCGTCAACAATCTTTGTAAGATCCTGAATTAATTCAAAACTTAACTCCCTCTCAATAGAAATTAACGCTAAATTATGAAGACGTGTAGTAGACATAGATGTTCGTAAATAAGTTTTTATCCTTTTCATTGTTGGAAAACTTCTTTCAGCCGGTGCTGAACTTACAGGTATAACTAACACTCGTTCAATGACTTTTTTAATTTCTCCAAATGACTGCCCCATAATACATATTTCGTTGTAAAAATCTATGATATTTTTACAACTACTGTATATATTTTTTGGTAATTTGCTTTGATTTATTATTTGGTCAGAGAAATAATTATCATCTCCATAATAATTTATACACTTTAAAACAAAATCATCATTTAAAAAGTTTGTCGATATCGGATTGAATACTGAAATAGCAGTTAAAAATTCTGAATTGTTATTAAATCTTTTTTTCATTTCATTCAACATATTATCTATTACAGTGAAATACATAATTCGCAATTTTTGAGTCGTAGTTTTATTACATTTTAAGCCAATTATTGAAGTAATTACACAATCACTTAATTTACTATTAATATTTTTCTGTCTTTTTTCATAATTATCCATAGATATATTTAAATTTGAAGCCATAATTTGACCTTTTTTATAAAAGTTATTGAAAAATTCATCCGAACGTAAGCTTTGAAGCTCTTTTATTGTAGCATCAATTAAATTTAAACACTTAATTATATCAAGAGAAGAAGATTGTAAATGTATTGAAAGTACGTTGATAGTTGATGAAAGGTTATCAAGAAATGTTAAAACAAATAATACGTCAAACGATCGAAATTGGTTTAATAATCCTTTGGCTTCTTAAGGCCTCTTTTTTTTTTGAGCTACTTGACAGTTGTGATAAAGCTTTTATGACATGTTGAAAACGAATTAAAAAAAAATGAATACCTTTATATTTTGCAACCCATCTAGTATCACTATGTTGAGGGACTTTTAAAATTATTTCACAATCTTTTTGGACATCAGAAAATATTTTATAACGTAAAGTTGAACTCGATTGAAATGCATAAATAGTTTCAAGCGATCCAATCGTATTGTCAACAATCTCAACTGATTTAGCAACATCGACCAAAACTAAATTAAGCCGATGTGCATAGCAATGTATATAAGGGCATTTGTTTTTAGAAAGTTCTCTAATTTTTACTTGTACGCCATTGGTAGAACCAGACATTACTGATGCACCGTCGTAGGATTGACTTATACATTTTGTAATATCTAAACCAACTGAATTTAAAAATTCGATAGTAGAATTAGTTAGGCCTAGTGCATCTAATTCTTCTACTTGTACAAATCCTAAGAACCTTTCTTTTATAGTTAATTTATGTACATATCTGATACATATTGAAATTTATTCAAATGTTGACGCATCACGAGCTTCATCAACAATTAAACTATAAACCGAACTACCTTCATTCACTTCTCTAATAATAGTTTGTAAAATGACATCTGAAGACGCAAATAAAATATCATTTTGGATTTTATTTGAAGTATATTTAGCCTTTTTAGGTAGGGACTTTAAATTTATATTAAACTTTTCATTTTCCAAACAAAGTATATCTAAAAGTTCTTTAAAATTACCTTGATTTTTTGTAGTTTCTAAGTCGTGTTCGTCTTCATTTGAATATTCGATTACATTATTGTGACCACGTAGACCTATATCCTGTCGTGCGCAATACAAAACTGAACGAAATACACTTTTTAATACTTCTCGATTTTTATTTATATTCTCTTCGACATGACTATTCATTTGAGTCGTAACAGCTCCTGTACTTATTGATGATATATAACCTTGATATTTGGCTAACGATGTTTTATGCGAATCAGCCGAGTTATGTTTTTTTGCCATCCCCGAAATATTTTTCCAATTATTATATCCTGTGGCTATTAAAACATCTTGATGCTTTTCACGAGATATAGAAATAGTAAAATGACGACAAAAAAAAAACAGAAAACTGCATCCAATTGAACAGAATATTCAATCCAAGGATAAACTTTGTACCATGAATTTTGAAAACTACGTTGTTTTTCACAAATTTTACGACGTGGAAAATTGATAATCGGCTGAATAGGTTGTTCATCACTATTTAAGCTAATATCAAGCACATTTAAGCTAGACGAGGAAATAGAAGACTCGTTAGAAGTCGAGGTAACATTTAATTTTTACATTTTTGTTTGTGGTTGACCTATTGTACTATCATCATCGTTCAATGTCCTTGTGGGTTTCGGAATAGGTTTAAAAAACTGGCTAATCATATTTTTATTTTTATTTAATTATTAGTCAAGTTATAATCAATATAAAATAAAAAAGTACTTAGGTTATTCTAATAGTGTACATAAACAAAAACAGAAAAAACGAATAAAACGATTTCCTCGATCGGCTCGGTTAAACAAGTCACTATAATACGTCTACACAGTACACAGTACACACTGTAATAAATTAATAAATTATTAATACCAAAAAATAACATATTTTGTAAACCATATTCATTATCTTATATCAAATGACGATTGTCGGCAGTGAACGGCCAGTGACGAATGTATAAATAACTCACTTCGGGTGTATTATTGTCTATTATTTACTATTTTTAGCCGATAAGCAGTACTGTGGCTACAATTGTTTGCGACGAAGGAAATAATTATTAATAACGTATAAACGCTTGCTATAAGTGGGTAATAAATAAATAATCTTTATTCCAAAATGATTCAATTACATATCGTATTATGAAGGAAAAAAATGTATAAAATTATGTTTCTTGAAAAATATTAATAATTATTATTTGAAAACAGGGTAGGCCTGGGCCTACCAGGCCTACCTGCTGGGCACGCCACTGAATATCAATATGGGACTTGTTGACAAATCTGATATGCAAATTTCATTTAATAACAGTGCAAGGAAAACTATTAAGTGGTACAAGAAGTTTTTTTTTCACCTATTAGACCTTACCTTTCAGTATTGAATTCTGGCATTGTAAAATACGTATGACGTAAATATACTACATTACTTTGCAAAAATTGTAAATATATTATTAAATTTTTTTCATATTAATTCACTCTGTGGGTAATAATGGTAAAATAATAATTCACTCTTCAAAGGGTTGATTAAAATTAATTTAAAATTAATTACCTGCTAATTGCTATGATACCTACTACAAAATACAAAAATACAAACAAAATGTCAAAACGCAACCTTTTATTTTATATTATATATACAATATTAATAATAATTATGTCCTTTCATAACAATATAATTATAAGTATTAAATATTATTTATTAATAAATCAAACATTTAGTTAGAACACTAATTTTAGTTGCAAATAACAAAATTACATTTTCATTATTAATAATTATATCTTGCTTATATGATATTTTCATTTAACTATCGAGACGATCTTGTGACATAGTTGTTCTTAACTTTGTTTTTATAAGTTTTAATTTAGAAAACGTTCGCTCTACGGCTTGTTACAGGTAATGTTATATATAATTTTAAAACTAAATAGAAATTTGGAAAAATATTAGCTAATTTAGCCAGACAAAATAATTTAAATAATTGTCTCGTACTTGCTATGTTATGATAAACTACTTTTGCAGAATCTTCTTCCGCACTATCATAACTACATGCGTTTAACCCTTTATAGGGCAGAACAAAAAAAATCGTCAGATTGTTCTAAAAATTGGTGTACATGCACTATGGAGTACTCTGATTTTGGGAAAAATATTGGAAATTTTTTATTTGTTTTGCATGGTTGGAAAAGTGGTGGGAAAATAGTTTCCCTTTGCCCCTTTACGACCATGAGATTTACTGAACGGGCAATGGTATAATATATTTCCCACTTATGCGGTTACTTAGATAAATATATAAGACTCATTCAAACTAATAAAAATATAAAAAAAAAAGTAAATAAATATTATGTTATTAAAATCAACAAATATATTTCTAATAAAATAAAACATTACAAATCTCGTTTAAAAAATAATATAATCAATTACTTGGTATAATTTACAAATCATAATGTTAGTCTTTTTATTTCTTTTTATAAATGTAAGAACAAAAAATTCATAAAAAATAAATAATAAATATACATCCTTTCAATAAAATCAACCAATACATTTCTAATGAAATAAAATTAAAAAAAAAAACATAGTCAATTACTTGGTATAGTTTACAAATCATAATGTTATTACAGTCTTTTTATTTCTTTTTATAAATTTAAGAACAAAAAATTGATAAAAAATAAATAATAAATATACATCATTTCAATAAAATCAACCAATAAATTTCTAATGAAATAAAATTAAAAAACAAACCTAATTTAAAAAAAAACATTATCAATTACTTTGTACCTATAGTTCATAAATCACAATATTATCACAGTATTTTCATTTCTTTATATAAATGTAAGAAAAAAATTTGGTTTAAAATAATAATTATGTATAATATTAATAATAAAACAATACACTTCTGAAATTTTCCATATAAATAATGAAAAGTAATAAAATATAATCATTTCTAGGTAGGTTTGTGATAAGGTTCAAAACATTGTTTGCATAGTGTTATTTCACATGTAGAACAAATCATATTTGATCTTTTTTCTTTAGCTTTCGTGCTACACAATTTACATCTTCTATACTTATCAATGAACTTTGGCATATAATCAACACCTGTAAAATTATGATTGATGGAAAGTTTTTGTTTTTTTTACTTCTTTGTTCGTGGGGGGAAGATGTACACTTTTTTCTGCATGAAAAATTTCCAATAAGTTCATCTGTTAGTCTTGATCTAAACTCTAAATGTGTAATGTATTTTTTTTTATTCTTGTTGCAACTTTCTTTATATAAAATATAAGAATTAACAATAGCAGTATCAACCATGTAATAAAAAAGTTTAATCCACCACTTCCTCGACTTCTGGGAAATTGAATATGGAGACATATATTGATCAAATTTGTCAACTCCTCCCATGTATTTATTATAATCTGATATTCCAGTAGGGCACTTTACTTGAATCCTTTCCCCTTTACCATTTTTTCTCAGTACTGTAGATGTATCTGAAGAGTTATGCATATTGCTAACAAGTGTCACTGGTTTACTTCCTCTATCCTTCCATCGCATAATACCAATATCTTCACTTTGGGCATATTCAATGTCACCAGAATTATATTTGCCATCAGTTTTCATAAGGTGTTTTGGATAATACTTTTTGTTTACTCTAAATGTTCCACATGCAAATATACCATCACACAAAAGTTTAAAAATTAGAGGTATACTTGTAAAAAAATTATCAAAAAAAACATAATAAAATAAGTTTTTCAATTTTTTGGTCAAGTATAACACAATATTTTCTCCTAGTCCAGTGGTGGCCAAACTTTTTTTAACTCGGGCCATAAAAACAAAAATTTTTTTACCGCGGGCCATAAAATTTTTTTTTACTTTTAAATCATCAGAATTTTAGGTATAGATATATAATTTTATATTTAACGACGTTTTTATTGTACTAAATAATTTTAATGACTTTATTTAATACTTAACTTAATAATTACTACAAATGAAAGAAAATTAAATCGGCTTACATTTCAAAAAATATTTATAAATAAATTATTAAAATACATATAAAAATATTAATATAAACTATACAAAATATCGTTTTACACTTACAAAACATATTTTAAAATGTATTAATTTGTTAATGAGAACTATGAACTTGTTTCTGTTGACAGAGGACATTAATATTAGGTTCTAATTTGGTAGAATTTACCCGGAGAACGGCGTGTAGATGTTCATTTGTGATGCGAGATCGAGTTTTACTTTTGTTAATTTTCATCGCTGAAAATACTTGCTCACAAATATATGTTGAACCAAATATACAAGACATTTTAGCAGCAAACTTCCGAACATTTGGAAAATCTTCTTCAGACAAATTTGAATAAAACTGAACAAGATTTTGAGAGCTTGTTAAATTATTAAATGTTGTTCTTAAAGAATTATGAGATTGGAGTTCTATAATTTCTAATTCTAAAGAAGCTTCGACAATTTCCGTATTTATATTAAATGGATTTTCAAATAGATTTATAATTGGTTCTTTAGTTCGAATGTCTTTAAAACGATTTTCAAATTCATGAATAAGTGTGTTAATAATTTTGATGCACCTTTGTTTTGGAAATATACCACAATTTTCTGTTTTTAAAGTAGCACAACTTTCAAAATGGGAGAAATTTAATTCTTCAATTTGATTTAGAAATAAAGATAATTTATTTTGGAAAGCTTTTACTGAACCGAACAATGTACTTACGAGTTTTTCTTTTCCTTGTAGCTTTAGATTTAACAAGTTCAGATGATGTGTTATATCTGTTAATATTGCTAAATCCCATAGCCATTCACCATCATTTAATTGTGTATATTGTTTATTTTTTTCAATTAAAAAAATTTCGATTTCATGGCGCAGGAAAAAAAATCTTTTCAAAATTTTTCCTCTACGTACATTACTGTGATATAAAACATCATTATACTCAGACTCTATTTCTGAAAGAAAATTTTGAAATTGGCGATGATTCAATCCATGTGATCTTATAAAATTAATAATTTGTACTACAATATACATAACATTTTCTAAATCTAAAACTTTCCCACATAGTGCTTGTTGGTGAACAATGCAATGAATTCCAATTGGTGGAGATAGATTTAGTTCAGACATTTTTGAGTTTATTCTTCCGATTAGTCCACTTTTAGAGCCTATCATACTTTTTGCACCATCTGTAGTAATACTAACAAGATTTTCAAAATCAAGACCTAGATTTTTTAATGTATTTAATAAAGCTTTGAATATACTTCTCCTGTTGTAGTAACACTCAAACTCTCCAACGCTCCTAACTCTTCTGTTATTTCAATATTTGCATTCACACCTCGTATAAAAATTAGAAGTTGTGCCGTATCTACCATATCTGTACTCTCATCTAATGCTATTGAAAAATATTGAAAATGTTTTACTCTGTCTTGCATTTGTTCAAAAAGATTAAGTCCAAGATCTTCTATTCTTCTAGTAATTGTTTGGCGTGACAAACTAACTTGTTCAAACAAACATTTATTCTCAGAACATATTTCATCAATAACATGTAACATACACTTCTTCACAAATTCTCCATCAGAAAACGATTGACTTTCTTTGGCTATTAACTGAGCAACTCAATAACTAGCACAGACAGTAGACACGTTTTGTTCACATTTTTTCTTAAATATATTTTGTTGAAAATTAAGGTTTTTTTTTAAGAAATTAAATTTTTCTACTCTTTTTTTTCCTTCTAGATTTTTAAATTTGTCTTTATGTTTAGTTTCATAGTGTCGTTTTATGTTATATTCTTTTAAAACTGCAATAGTTTCTTTACATATTATGCACATACCTTTATTTTGCCATTCTATACAAAAGTAATCGTCTTCCCACTGATTTTTAAAAACATGACATTCTGAGTCGATTTTCCGTTTTTTGTTAGACATAATGAACTTTTACAATATAAACGTAATAACAATATTAACTTTATATTAGTCCTGACCGCAGACGAATAACGACTGATCACGATTGCTGTAGAAACTACAATGTAGATAAAATTGATCGCGCAACGAACACAGTAATATTACCTACTATATATTGTACTACTATATATTGCTATACTACTAATATAATCGTATGAAAATAAGATAAGATACGGTTATGCTATTTATATTATTAAATTACATTGTAACAACAAAAACGCTACGATATGGCGTACGGGATTAAATATGAAGAATGTAAACTGTATTTTTAATTTTTTTTTTTACGAAAATGTAAAATATTATACTTCTTTCGCGGGCCAGATATTAAATGATGGCGGGCCGTAGTTTGGCCACCACTGTCCTAGTCCATACTCAGGTATTCCATTTGATTTTTTTCCAGTGTATAAGTCGAGATTCAGTAAAAAACCACTATAAGAATCAGCCAATGCCCATATTTTAAAACCCCTTTTTATAGGTTTCATGGGCATACATTGTTTCATAGTGGAACGGCCCTTATATGCTACCATACTTTCATCAACTGCCAAGTAATTGACGGACGATATACAGATTGATAAATATCTTTCAAGTGTGTTATCATAGGACGAATTTTATACAACTTATCAAATTCCAAAGAATTTCTTGGTGGCATTTGGGAATTATCATTAAAATGAAGTAACCGTAGAATTTTCAAAAACTGGTATACTTTGGTCTTCATTTAAATCATTGTTCACATCAACAAGAGCTGAAAATTTGTATTCAATTAAAACTAGTTGTATATCCAATAAGGTAATTGATTATAAAAAACTATGTGTGCATGTAATATGTACAAATTATCATTTGTTAATGTATAAGTAGGTATAAAAATGTAAGTACATAAAATAAAATCATATATAAAATCAATCATCAGAAAAATCTTTTTTAACTAACATATTTTTTTTTTACATATAAGCATTTTTTTACTTTTCTATATTCCAAATTAACAGTAGTGGGATAAATTAATGTAATTATCAGGACTAGGATTTGTATGAAATAAAAAATTAAAATATGCATTTTAGTTACCAAAATATGCAAAAATATGGATTTAAATTTTTATAAGATAAACACAAAAATATAGTTAAAAAAAAAAAAATATATTTATTGAAATACATCAGTGGTTGGTTGTTTGTCTTAATATAATAAAATAGAGATATAAAATAAAATAGTTTAAAATAAAATTTATGTTTGATAAAAAAAAATCAAGTTTTATACTTTTATCAGCAGGTCTAGAATTAAATACGAAATATACTATAGTACATTCATTTTTTGCATTCTTATAATTGAAATATGTAATAATATTAATTTTATTCAATATATGCAATTATATCCATTTTATCCAAAATATGCAAAAACATGCAAAATAAAAACACCACAATTTATCTCATCATGAGGTGATTCGTGGACATTATTGACAAAATCAATATTCAGAAGTCGCAAAAAAATCATGCTGTTGCATACAAATCTTAACCCTGGTTATAGCTAATAGGACATGGTCACATAGGTAGATTATAGTACAATAAGTTGGTAGTACAGAACTTATAATTAATAACTAATCATATTAAATATTATAATTAAGATTATTATTCATTATTTAAAATAATATATATTTATTATATATCTATATTTTTATTTTAAAACAAAATAAAACATTTAAATAAATTATGTAAGTATATACTATTTTTTATATCAGTAATTTGATGAATCAATTTGCTTTTTATTCTTGTTTTCAGAAAAAAACGATTTTATATCATGCGAGTTTCTTTTAAATTTTCGTATTTTACATGAGTTAATATGTCTATTCCAATTTTTATCGTTCATTGATGAACTTAATTTCCCATTTAATCACATTTACAAACAGAATTCATAGTTTTTGGTATTAAATAAATTACTTTATAAGGTTGATTTATACATAATTTTCTTAGACAATTTTAATTTTTAACTTTAAATAATAGTGGTTAAAAATTAAAAATTCTTAAAAGTTAAAAATTAAACCAATTCAATTATATTAATATGTGTCACAGTCTTTTTGAATAATAGCTGGCTTATTAGTTATTACACTAAACTGAAGGAACATGAAGGTACAGTTGATTTTCAACGATAGTGTATCATAGTTTATAGGAGTTTTTAGCTATTTATAATCACTATAATGTTGCATTTTTGATAACATAATATACGCTAATAATGTAATATACCTATTAAAGACTTGCACGGGCCGGAGCGGGTCGGACTTTTCTTAAATAAAATCCCAGTCGGGCCGGACTATTTTTACGACAAAAGTTACGGGCCGGGCCAGGCCGGACTATTTTTTCGACAAAAGTTACGGGCCAACAAAAAAAAAACATTATGGTATCAAATATAAATTATAGATACGTACAAGTGAGGTATGACGAAATTTTGCTATCTTTAATCTTTATTCTGAAGAACCTATAAACTATAATAATGTAAAATAACAATAGGACAGACGTGTGGCGATGACATTAGCTATTTATAACCACGTATTTTGATAAACCGGAAAACGGACTGTAGTTCCCAGACCCGCTGAAACGCACTAATGTCTTATTGTATCTAAAAAAAAAAAAAATAGAATCTACTATTTAGTAGGTATTATCTACAATCCATCATGGTCTCTATTATTTAATACCTATCTGGCTATCTATTGTAAATTGCGATGTTATAGCAAAACAATTTTCAAAAGTAATTAATTTATAAAAATTTAACAATTCAATCGTAACATATTATCAACGTTTGGGCATTGTGATTCGTGGTTTATCGTAGACAGTGTTCTGTCGTTTTCAGTTTGTAAAGTAACAATCAATCATCAGACTTCGTCAATATTCATTAAGTAGTAATGTGATATTTGTTTTTTAAATTTTATATTAATTCTATAAGATGTTTTTTTATTATTAAAATATGTTGTTAAAGACAAACAACTTTTTTTTGAAATTGTATTAAAAGTGATGTTTTAAATTAATAATATTTTAAAAGTTAGTTATAATAGTTAGGTACTTAGTATTTACTATTTAATTTGTTATTCAAAAGACTGAATATTTTTTCATTTCTAACTGGGCCGGACTATCTAAAAATTTTATCGGGCCGGGTCGGGCCGGACTTTTTAAAAATGTTACCGGGCTGGATCGGGCCTGACTTACTCGCCAAAAATATTGGCGGGCCGGACTGGGCTTTCTATAAATTTTTCCGGGCCGGGTCAGGCCGGGCTTACTCACCTAAAACTATTTGCGGGCCGGGCCGGGCTTTCCAAAAATGTTACCGGGCTGGACCGGGCTGTAAAGTATCGGCCCGTGCAGACCTTTAATATCTATGGTAGTGGAGTGGTGGTCACCAGTCGGCGAATGTCTATTTTGGTTGATGGTTTTTATTTTTATTTTTGTTCTGTTCAAAATTCAGCATTAGTTGTTACTGTTCTTACTAATGAGTAATGATCGTATTATTATAAACTATTTGGTGTTAATTTTTCAACGAAAAAATGTATATGTAATACCAAATACTCACAGTGGGCAATACTACTTAATAATTTATGATCCTATTTCTATTAATTGTCATAATTTTATTTTCCTTTGGATCCACCCCCCAGTAAAATATTTATATATATGGCAGCTGCCATACATAAACATGGACTTCAGCGCCACTGGCATATCAGACATATTAACCTTTTTATGTATACTACTAATATTTATTCTTTTATTGTATCGTAAATAATTCTAGCCTCTTTTTCATCTTTATTTGCAGTTCACATATCACTTGTACAATAATTTTTTTACACGATTTGTATAAGTGTTTACGTCTTCTCATTGAAGCATTTTAACCCTTTCATTACCCATTTAATTGTACTTGACCAATATTTTTTTTTTTTACTTTATTTTTATTTATGGTCATAAATTAACAATCTCCCCAAGTTTGAAAACATTTGAAGGATTATTGAAGGATTTACAGGATCGTCCATTGTAATGGACATTGGGAGTTAACGGTTAAAAATTATAATTATTGTAGATATTCTTTATGGGTGTATTTTCAAATGAAAAAAAAATTATTTCTGTATAGATACAATATTAAAACAAAAACTTAACATCAAATACAATATAATAATACGTATGTAATAAAATACGTCTTAAATATAAAATAATTAAAATAAAAAAAAACGTAACATAGGATATATACCTAATTATACATATAATATAAACTTAAAATAATAACTTTGGTTAATTTTTCAGTCTCTGAAATTATTAATAAAAACAAATAACTATCTTGTACGTAATTCTTAGTATGATATGAAAATTAAAATGAAAACAAAATCTATATTTTATTGTGAAAGTTATAGAAACAGTCGTTTTTTGGCGTAAAGCATAAATTAATGTTACACTTTCTGCATACTACATGAGTTTTACCTGTGCATTTGTTCTCTTTGCAACGGGTCGCCTCTTTCTTTCCATCATATTTTGGGTAGTGTGATGTCTGGTCTTGGCTGACAGCTAACAAAGGTCTAAATTCCAAAGATTTGGCGCATTTGGGCGATATATCATATATGTCAACATTTGAAACACTAGGCGATACTGATGATGGACGGCCGCGTTTTCTTGGTGGGGTAGGTCGGCCAACAAGAATAAGTTCTTCGGCAAGACTGCTTTTAAAATACAATAAAGCGAGTTGTCTGTTTTTAAGAATCTTCAATGCATTTGAATCATTTATATATTCCAGCCAACAATTTGCACCCCGCCATATCGAATGCATGAAAAATCATTCGAAGTGTCCACTTCTTTGATTTCATATGCATTCTGTAGTAGCTGACTAGTTGATCATGCTTGTCAACACCCCCCATTGATTTGTTATATAATTTTATTACTTCGGGTCTTTCTATATGCACAAATTCTTTATTTTTTTTATCCCACCGTTTGACGTATTCCGGTTCGCCTGATGTTATGAAATTCGATCCCATATTTATTGGTTTATTGTCATACCATTTTAGCAAACTTATTCCTAATTTTGACGTAATTTCAAATGAGGTACCTCTTCCTAAATTTGAAATTTGTTTATCGGGCATCATAGGCGGTTTGAAAAATCGGTTCAATCTTACAGTACCGGCAGCATAAATTTTTTTTTGTAGTAACGCATAAAAAAGGTTATAAGACGAAAAAAAGTTATAAAAATATAAATAGTGTCGATTTTCACTAATATTTTGAGTTAGGCAAACTACTATAGCTCCGCCTAAACCAAAATTTTTCTGGAGCTCTTCATTTATATTAGTTGACATGCCCTGATATAAAATCATGTTGTAAACGATTCCACTTTCTCCGCAAAGTAAAAATATTTTTATCCCCCAAGGATTTGGTTTTCCTTTCATGTATTGCTTTACTGAAAGTTTACCTTTAAATGGTAAAATTTGTTCATCTACACTCAGATTTCGTTCAACTGGTAATTGTTGACAGCGAATATTTAAAGTGTCAACAATAGAACGTACCTTAACAAATTTATCTTTATTGTTTCTAGGAATATCCAAATTGTTAATTAAATGAATATGTTGTCTCAAGGAAAAAAATCGATTTTTAGTCATTGTGTCCGCAATAATGTTAACACGATATCTACGTGTCCAACACATTTCCTTTTTAGGATATTTCAAACAACCCATAATCATTTGTATAGCAATTAGTGATTTTATTTCTGTAGCACTTGTAGGTTTTAAATTATTACTGTTATTTTGCACTGCATATACATTGGTATGAAAAGCAACATTTTCAAAAAACGTATTATTAAAATACTTCATGAAATATTCAATTGGCGTTGGCATATCTATTGGAGGGTCGACAATAACTAAATCATTAAGTTCTAATATTGGTGCACTACAAGGTTTGTTTATCCACTCTATGTCTTTCTTTTGAACAAAATTAGGTCCTAATGTACGAGGTGTAAGAATTGGCGCTGTAATTTCATGCGTTTCGTCAATATCTTCGTCTTCAACTTCATTTGCTTGTAGTTGATCTTCTTCTTCACGAAGTGCCTCTAAAAACCCAAGCAAATCATCGTTTTCGAAATTATGTAAAAGAATTTCCAATTCATCGTCACGATCGTCGTTTTCATCCAGAACATCCAAATCACTGTTGTACCCATCATTTAATAAATCCAAAATTTGGTTTTCGTTTAAAGACATAAACTTAAAATGTTTAACTTTCGTTAAAATTATAAATTATTTTACAACGGAAAAGCTCATATCAGTGATAATATCATTATATTGTTATCATTATATGATAAGGCATGAACTCCCAGTGTCCATTCAAATAGACATAACATCAAACGTGTGTTATCAGGTGAAAAAAATATAATATCCAAGAATTTACTGTAGCAACTGCTTCTATAACTAACTAATATGTAAGAAAAAAATACCCAGTGTAGCCAACAATAATATAAATAAAGAAAAAGTAGAAAAATGTTGCGTACTTTTACGAATAACCATCTGTTTCAAATTTTCTATTGTTAATTATTAATTTACAAAAACCTTATCATTTATAGATAAATTATAGACGGTTATCTTAATCTACACAATTTAGCGAACAATTAAAATGTATCATAACGTCATTGCAATCAAATGTTGATGTACAGTAATTAAGACAAATTCATGTCCATTGAAATGGACAGTGGTAGTGAAAGGGTTAATAGAATATAATTATATTTGTAATCCGCTTCAGCTTTAATTTTAATAGAATTTAATTCTATTTGTAAAACTGAAGCGGAGTGTTGTGCCTCAAACGTATCGGTTAAATATTTTTTTATGTTTTTCCATTTAGTTGTATCTTTATATTTAATCGCTTTTAAAGCTCTACCACTTAATCTGGTTGTTATATATTTAATTAAAATCGGTACATTTTTCTTTTCTACTGATTCTATTGCTACATCACATACCTGAATAAATTGATAAACGTCATCTTCTCCCATACTTTTTGGTATTAATTTAACTGCCTCTTCCAATTTTAGTGTTACTATATCGCTATTCATTTTTCTTCTAGGTTTTACTTCAAATTTTAATTCCTCAAATTCAATAATCTCAATATAAACTCAATATAATCTCGGGATTCCCTTTAATAATTCAATAATTCAATAATAACTCAATTATAATTCAATAATAATATTGGTATTTTTAGATAGAATTTTTAGGTTGATAGTTTTTTTTATGAACTTAGAATGTTTTTTATTTTATAAAAGTTTAGAATTTTTTTTATGTAGAGGAGATGCTCTGATTCTGGAATACCATTTTATTTTTTGTCTATCGTGGGTACAATTTTATCACAAATCAAATACTATAAATGTCATATCAAAGGAAAATAAGTATGGAATTGGTTTTTGTAGGTATCTGAATACCACAATCAACAAAATATTAATAAAATAATTATATTGCAAAAATGTTTATTTTTACGGTTTTACAATAACGGAATAAATAACACAAAAAAATAAAAATAAAAATATTCTAGTCCTAGAACTTTTTAATAAATTATAAAATTGTTTAAGAAATTAATTTAATAATTTTTCAATTTAACTAAAATAAGATATGAAAAACTTTTCTAATGAAAACAAAACAAAATTATTAAAATAACAAAATTATATAATAAACTTTTAGACTTTAAATAATTAAAAAAAATAAATGTCACTATAAAATTGGTACTTTCCCTTATTATTATTTATGTATAACATTTTACTAACAGAAATCACAGATATAGTGGTCCGATTCTGGTCCAGCACATTTGGTATGTGCCCACATATTGCACATTAAGCATTGTATCCAAAGTTCTCCTCTTTTATCGTTTGAAAACATCCCATTGCAAAACATACATATTGCATCATTTGAATCTGGTACAAGTTGACCTGGGTCAACGTCCAAATCGGAACTACCAGAAATATTCAAAATGTCAGTGCTGTCTGATGTTATTGAAATATATCCAGCATTATTTTGATGTCTTTGGTTGATGCTCTTTTTTGGATTTGAAATTAAGTTATTCACAAAAGACAATTTACTTTTTGTACGTGTTTTTCGTGGGATCTGTTTAGATTTGGAGCTTGAACTGCTACTTGAAGTTGCTAAATCATTTTTGTAAGGAGATGATGTAATCACACATGCTGATGCTGCTTTACGCACCCCCTATTTGATGTTCTAGGTCTTAATAATGGAACTGGTGCTATTTCAAATGGAGATATGAATTCTTTTGTTACACAGGATTTTCCAAGAGTTTCGTCTTCCAGACATACTAAATGATTTTGATTATTACTATTAATTTGATTTTGAATTTCAATACAGTCTAGGTAATAACTCAGTTTCTATACGAGTATATGCACCATCATGACTCAGAGAACTGTTGGTTTGTACTTGAACGTCTAAAGATTCAGTTATAGATTCTTGTTCTATTACTTCTCATCTTTTAGATGCATCTATTTCGGCTGCTATAAAATCTGAATCACTAAAAATACTTCTTTCTAGAGGATAAATTCCAGTTTCTCGGAAACCATTCACTATAATTTCCCCAGTTTGAACTTTTAAATATGCTTTACCAAATAACTCGGCGATATCAAAAGGAGTAAGTTGTCTATTGTTTTGACGGATCCACAAACGTATTTGTTCACTGTAATATGATTTTAAAGCCCCCATAAATGTTTTGTCAAGTGGCTGCAATTTGTGTGTTGTGTGTGGAGGTAAACAAATTAGAGTTATAAAATTGTCTCTAGCCTTTTCTATAATTTCTAAATTTCGTGTATGACTGTAATGACCATCTAATACTAAAAGAACCGAGGAAGTTTTGCAAGATTTGCTTATTTTAATAAAGTGATCACTGAACAAAAATATTATTTTGAATCCAATCACTAGGATGACAAACACCAATAGCACCAGCAGGAGCACCCTTCATGAGTTGTTGATTCAAGTATGGTAGGATAAAAGTACCTCCAGCACTCATAGCTGCTACTATGGTTATAAGACCTCCTCTTTCTGCTGAGGTCAAAGATGAAATTTGACGTTTACCTTTTAAACCAATTACTTTTGATATTTTACTTTGAACTACAGTCAAACCAGTCTCATCTACATTAAATATACGGTCAGCAGGATAATAATGTTTTTCAAATAACTCATCAAGAATATCAAAAAATGTATTTACTTTTTCTTTCGTACATCCTAAAGCTCTCGAAAAAGATGTTCCGCAAGGTTTTCTAATGGATATAACATGTTTTTGTTGATTTAAAAATCGATCTAACCAACACCTACCATCCATCATTGATTCACCACTAAATGGATGTTCAATTTTGTTTTTTACAGCAAGCTGGTAAGCTAATCGTTTAATGTCATTTCTGGTCAGACCATAAAACTTTGATTCCATTACTAAATCATAGTTTAGTAATTGATTCTCTAAAACATTCCCAAGAACTGTTTTCCTACCTAATTTAGTCAATGCAGCTTAATGCGGTGCGACATCCTTCTTACAACACAAACGATACAAGGTTGTTTTCTAGGTACTCCGAAGTGTTTAGATGCTTTTAAGTATCCCATTTTTTTTTCTCGCACAGCTTTTATGGCGGACTCCATATTATTTTCATCCCACTGTTTTCTTGTTTAATATTTTATATTTGGTTTGGCCATTTTAAACAATAATAAAATACTAATTAAGAAATTAATATTTTATAATTTTAGATGTTAAGTTTATAATATGGAATTCTATATCATATTAGGCACATACGATTATTCCATATTACCAACAACGTGTAATCAAAATATAAAAATGAATAACAGTGTGATGGTATCACTTTTATTTAATTGCAATTGTATATTTTAAAAGCTTATTTCATATGTTATGCATACGTATCAAATGTTTTACGAATAAAACACTTGAATGAAGTAAAAAAATAAAAGTGTACGTACCTTGTAGAGTTTCCATTAAAACGAAAATCGAAAAATGTTGTTTTTGGTGATCAGTGCCGCATTTAGACATTTTGCACCCCGGTGCAAAAAAAAATTGGCGCCTCCCAAGCCCAGGTGAAAAAAAAATTGCTCCTCCCACGGAAAATATATTAGGTAGATCCTCATTAACCTTTTAGATTTTGAGCGAAGAAAAGAATATTTGTTTAAGAGTGCTTTTTTTCAAAAAATATTGTTTAGTAATTGCTTGATTCCTATCGGACACGACAAGAAGAAGAATCCCTCCGCAAAGATATATTGGAATTTATGTCACTTAAACCTTGCTAATAATTTAGTATCATTCAGTTGTTTTTTTTTTAAACATATTTAAGTAGGTACTTCATGGATAAATAAAATAAAATTATATAAAACTATGCAAATAAATATTTTATATTTTATTGTATATAGTATTTTATAAAATTAATGTAACTATATACAGGGCTGGTAGTGGTTTAAGCTATTTAAAAAAAGTGACTGAATTTATTTATAAAAGTGACAAAAAAGTGACCTGCATAAATTTGTTTTATAACAACTTGTAAACTTACCAGTTATTAAACATTAATTATTTTTGAATCTCTACATACCTATAGTTTAGTTGATTCTTACTTACTTAATTTTGTAGAAATTACAAAAAATAATGATTATAATAAACACAAATTTTAATAGCAAATAATTAAATAATATTACCTATTTAAATTTTAAATTAATGATGTTTATAATATAGAATAATATTCAAGATCATTGTTTTGGAACTTCCTTTATTTTAATCATAAGTACAAAACTATGTAATATAATGTTTAAATTTTTCTTCTACTCTGTTATGTTGCGAATTCTTGAATTACATCATCAAATTGAATGTTAGTTGTTATATCAGCTTCAATTTTCATGATTGCTAAATAATTTAGCCTTTCTTCAGAGGTACTAGACCTCAGATATGTTTTAATACGTTTTAAACATGAGAAATACCTTTCTGTCGAACAATTACTAACTGGTGTGCATAACAGCATTCTCAGAGACACATCAATATAAGGATACATACCTATCAAATCATTTTTTCTCAGAAAACTACTCATTTCCTGAATGTTTTTAAGAGCCTTATCACCAATAGATAATAAGTGGCTTCTAAAAGGAACACATTCATTAGTAAATAAAGTGCTGAGATCATCTTTATATTCATTTTGAAGTATTTCAGCATTTTTTCGAATTTCAATTGATGTCAGCTCTGTTAATTTGAAAAAGAAATTGTAATTTTTAAGTAGATGTACATATTTTTCATTTCTTTTTTCTAGTTCTAGCCGCAGTTGCTCGAGTATAACAAAATAGGTATTTACTCTAAAATCAGAGTATTCAACTGTTGATTCTTTAGATGGTCCTTCATCAAAAAATTGTTTTCTACTTTTTGACCGTTTAGTACAGGATTGAAACTGCTTAATTGTACTTTTTTCAATTGCACATTGTTTAAAATACTCATAATTTTTATCGGAGCGTAAATCAATGATATATATTATTAATGATTTATTCAATTCGCACACTACACCCAAATCGATATTGACAGATTGCAATTTCTTGCTCGTAAGGTTAAATCGGTGTAATATTTGACCCCAGAATATAGATAGGAAAGCAGTTTCTAAATTATTTAACTTGTTTAGAATTCCTCGAGCTTCATTTCGTCAAAGTGTTTTCTCAGCATCATCATTTTTAATTAGATCTAATGCTCTAATAATTAAAGACCAGTTTTTGTTTAGTGATTGGCAAGCATCATCTCTGGCAGACCATCTTGTTTCAGAAAGTCCTTTAACAGATGCGCTTAGAACTTTCCAGCGGTGAGTAGAAGCTGTAAAAAATGTTATGAAGTAAATTGAAAAATAAGACAGCTTGAGTACAAAAATCAACTGCATTAGTTCCCACCAAGTTAAAGGAATGAGCAGAGCATGGTACAAATTTTGCTAAGGGATTGACATTTTTAATTTTTGCTTGCAGTCCAGCATAAATCCCAGACATATTGCTGGCGTTGTCATAGGATTGGCCTCGAAGATAATCAATATTTAAGTCATATTTTTTGAATTCACTAAATACAGCATTTGCCATGTCATCCGCTTTATGTCCAATTTGATCCAAAAAATATAAAAACCTTTCGACCGGTTCCCCTTTATTGTTGATATATCGAACACAAAACGAAAGCTGGTCGATATGTGATATGTCTGGTGTAGAGTCAACACTGATTGAGAAATATCGAGAAGCTTTAACTTCTTGAATAATTGTATTTAGTACTTGTCTAGACATTATACTGATAAATTGCTCATATACATTATATGATATGTATGATGTGTTACCTTTTCCTGGGTTTCCATATGTTTCTAAATGGTTTGATAAGAAAGGATCAAACTCAGCCAATAATTCAAGGGCCATAAGAAAATTACCATTGTTATTACATCCTATTTTTGAAGTTGTTCCTCTAAATGCCAATCCCCTGGATGATAAGCTTTTAACAGCCACAACTCGTTTTAATACATTTATCCAGTATGTATGTTGAACTTCCACTTAAACTCAATTAAATAGTATAGAACAAGGTTATAATGAAAGTGTAACAAATTATGCAGCTAGGATACAAAAAGCGTATGATTACTAAAGATGAATCTAGTGGGAGGAAGCATTAACAATGAATAAATACATACATAACAACGCTAAAAATATTTTTGAAGACGGATTAAAACCTCAAATACGCATGTACGTTCGTTCTAAAAATTTCAATACTTTAGAAGAAATGATAAATGTCGCGCTAGAAGAACAAATTTTTGAAAGAAAAAAATTAAATAAAAATAATATTAATAATTACGAAAATAAAAATAATTATAATAATGACAATTATAAAAATAAAAATTATTCGGGAAAAACATATGAAAATAAAATAAAATGCTATACATGTAATAAATTTGATAAAAATAAACCTTCAACTTCAGGTACAAATAAAAACGATAAATTCTGTAATTATTGCAAGAAAAATAATCATACAATTGATATATGTAGAAGATTAAAATATAAAAAAGAACACGAAATTAATAAGGAGCAAAGTCAAACGGTAGACAATATAAAATCTGAAAATATACATTATATAACAGAAATTGAAAATGATCATATAACAGGCAGGGCATGGCAATTTATTAATAAAAATGTTAAATTATATATTGATACAGATTCAAATTTAAATTTAATAAAATTGCAGGCATTAAAAGGAAATGTAATAAATAACGTAAAAAATAAAACAATTTTAAGAGGTATTAACGCATTACCAGTGGAAACTGTAGGTTTAACCGAGATAGATTTAAACATAAAAGGAAATATTTATAAGACTAAATTTCAAGTTGTTCAAATTTTCCAATACCAAACGAAGGCTTAATCGGTAAATCATTTATTAACGAAAACAAAATATTAATAGATTTACCTAATGATCAATTAATTTTTCCTGATAAAAAAAATATAAATGTAATACCTGCAAGATGCGAAAAAATAATAGCAATTAATATCGATAAACAATGTTTAATAGTACATAATACAAATATAAATGACGATGTAATTCTAGTTAACGCAATAAACGAAATAAAAAATAACCAAATAATTACAAGTGTTATAAATTTATCGGAAGTCGATAAAGAAATAAACGACCTTAAAATTAGTGATTTAAATTGGGAACCATGTAATGAGTTAATTCAGGAAAGTGAAACTATACAATATATAGATAATCAAAATATAACTGATAGAATAAAAGAATTAAAAAGTGAACTTCGATTAGAACATTTAAATAAAGACGAAAAAAGCCAAATAACAGATTTATGTTTCGAATTTTCAGATATATTTTTACTAAAAAATGATAAATTACCAAGTACAAGTTTAGTAAAACATAAAATCATAACCCCAGATAATATAACACCAATAAATGTAAAACCATATAGATTATCAGAGGCACAAAAAAATGAAATAAATAGACAAATAGAAGGGCTAGAAAAACAAAATATTATTAAAAAAAGTTCGAGTCCTTGGAATTCACCATTATTGGTAATTAAAAAACGAATGGATACAACAGGTATTCCTAAATTTCGAGTATGTGTAGACTACAGAAAATTAAATAAAATTTCTATAGGAGAAAGTTACCCATTAAATGATATAACTGAAATACTAGATAGTTTAGGTAAAGCTAAATATTATAGTACATTAGATTTAGCAAGTGGGTATCATGCTATTGAAATGGAAGAATCAAGTATACAAAAAACGGTTTTTTCTACAAGTTCCGGGAAATGGGAATGGTTGCGTATGCCATTTGGTTTAAAAAACGTACCTAGTACTTTTTCTAAAGCAATGCGTTCAGCATTGAGTGGATTAATAGGAATTAGTTGTTTTGCTTACTTAGATGATTTCATAGTTTATTCT